GGCCTGCCACGCAACATGACGATGGACACGTCCAAAGTGCTGTGCCTGGCACGAAAACTGCAACACATTTTCCGAAAACCGTATTGCGCCTGCCACGCAAAACGGCTTTCGACACGTTGCAAAACACGTCTGAATGTCACGAAGTGCCATGCCTGCCACGCGAAACGAAGCAACAGACATGCGCAACCTCCAAAAGCGAACCCTTTTGCGGAACTTATACCATAGGCACGGCCATAGGGGGCCTCACAGGGTCGCCCGCGAACGGTTGCAAACGGTTGCGGACGGTTGGGCAACGTCGAGCGAACACACCCTCAACCCCCAGACCCCCAGGGGTGCAGGGGCCCCAGAGTGAAACGGGAACCCTTGCTACACATTTGGGAAAAATTGAACAACTTCCAAACGCGAATGGTGGAAACCGATTCTTGCTGCACAATTTCTTAAAAAAAAGGGCAAAAAAAAACAAAGGCGCTGCATGCAAGCGCCCTGGAAAAAACAGCTGCAAAGGTGCAGATCCATGGGGGCCGCTGTTTTGTGAGCCGCCAACGAACAATTTCCTTTCTCCTTCGGCCAATCGAGCTACAGTGGCTGGAGCACCAGGCCTTCCTGAGATTGCTGAAAAAGCTCTACCATTGGCTGCACCGGCGCCGCGCCAACATCCCTTTGGATTTCATGCACCCGTAATAATGCATCTACTAGGAGCATGCGCAGCAATCGCCTGGCATGATGGATCCGTTGAAGAACCCATCCGCTGCCTGGAATTCAGTTGAACTATGAGGCAGTTAGTGTTAACTCTGTGTTTGACCCCGTACAATTCAACAGAAAAGAAAATGTGAAAGTTTTGGTGATAAACCATACCCATACTTTCTCATGTATAATATCCTTCTTTTCTGGATCATCAATTTCTAACGTCATTTACTTTTGGCCCAAAATGTTCAAAACAGGTCCGCTGAACGTTTTGTTTTTGTTCGTGGTTTTGTTTTGGGGAAACAGATTTGATTTTAGCTTAGGAAATGACAACATGCCATCGACTTTCATGTTCACAAGAGGGAAACTCAGATGTTGGATTCTAGACTTCAAACCTGTTTCATGTGAAATGGAACTTTTGCAGCAGGCAGGCCAAGAGTTGCAAATTACAGTTAGGAAATGGTTGGACTTTAGGCCCAGCTTTGCGTAAACATATATTCTTCAGGTAAAAATGCAGCTGTTGCACGCTTGTACGTTTGATTGTATCCTTCTGCACCGTTAAACGGAACTGGCCACACGACAATTTTTTTCTGTAATTTGGTATTGGGTTATGCATGTTGGGGTGTGGAAATTACACCAACGAATCAACAGTGTTTGTGTTTTTGCAACCTTGAACGCCAGCACCATTTTAAGATACGTCACCATGTTTGCTCCTGGATTGCATTCTTTTCTGGTCCGCTTGTAAGTCCATAGCGCCCTTTGACCAGATGACAAACCAACATGAGGTTGCCACCGTGCCACTCCTGGCGTGTTCCAAAACAAGTGGAAACAATCGTTGTGGAAAGTGAACTTTGATGGGCGAGGTTGAACAAATGTCCATTAGATAAGGATGCAAATGTTTTTTACGTCATCAGACAGTTTCACCCTTTTCAGATTCAATTTCGCATTAAAGATGTTGGGCAAATTTATTTTGGATTCGTTTGGCCGGGTATGTGGCGGATTTTTTTGCAACTCCATCACTTTGTACGCATGTTCCATTTTGCGTTGGCACAGGCAATTTCATGTCAAAATAGAGTTTGGCACCAATGTCAGTTTGAAAGAACATCCCACGTGAACGGCGCACTGTTCAAATATGGAATGCATCCGCATCCTTTTCTTGGTTCAAAACTGTGGCGTGAAGGTGTGAACATATCCCCGCATGTTTTGGGTTGCGATGTTTTTTTTAAAATTCAATATTGGGCATACCTAGTGTTTCTGAACGCGCCACCGCAGTCAAGCACAGTGTGCGCAACTAATGCCATTAGCACGTCCAAATGCGGACAAACACCCACCTTGTCCATGATCCGGGCCTCAAGCATGTTGAGATCCCAACGAATAGGGAAAGGACAGAAGCACACACACACAACACAGAACACAGAGGCAGACACGGGGCATTTTAAGGGTTTCTGTGGTAGTTTTTTCTTGTGCGAGTTGCCTTCCACAACGTCATTGCCTCAAAGTGACATTTTCAGCGATGCTTTGTGATGGGTTGATTCGGAGCTGGAGTTGGAAGATGTTGGTCAAAACACTCGGCTGCAAGGCCTCGGTGGCGAATGAGTGGCCTTCCAGCTGGTTGTGAAATCTTGGGGGTCGGCGCCTCCGTTTGTGCTTGGACTCCGGTCTTATTGGAGATGTGGGACATTGTAGCACTGTCATGGTTTTTTCGACTTTTGTTGTGAAACATTTGGCATTTCAAGACGCTTCATAGGAAAAACATGTCCATGTGCAAGTTGGCATGGCTGACACCAACAGGCCGTCAAAATCAAAGATGGGTGCGGATCCAAGTCATGCTAGAAGAACTAGGGTACGGTCAAGGAAATATTCTCGGAGTTGTCTATATGAAGATGCGCGGGGACGTCCTGAATTCGTGAGTTTGGATGGCAGTTATATATTTGCCCTTACCTCCAAGGGTTAGCAAGTTAGACTAACAGTTAGACCACGTTCTAGTTGCTCTTGAGGCTTTTCGTCGGTGACGAACTGGCAGCTCAAGATTTGGAGTCGGGTCCTCAGAGATTCCACTGTCGTTGGGCACATTGAATTTGTTCAGAATCAAGACATGGTGAGCGATTGAGAAGGAGGTATACACAAAGGATGGGCATCTACGGCAATCCAAAACGGTCCAACAATTTGATGCATTTATGTTTAAATATCAATTCAGTTCTCAGTCATGCTTCAGTGAATTTTACCCATCGTTGTTCCCTGGAAGGGTTTTGCCCGCAGTGTGGGTGATTGGGTAGGGAGAGAGCACACAACAGATGATGTAATTAGTCAACGTAGTCTCCAGTACATGATTTAGTGAACAATGAGCCAAGAGGGATATGGGACACCCGGGGCCAGGAGCCGGAAGCGATGAAACCGTAACCAACCAATGCCAGATGTAAAGACCTTTGCTTCTTGGCAGGTTCGTCGTTGCTAACAAAGTGACGCGCATCATCAACTGTTCTGGCCGCCAGGCAGGAGATTGTTGCACTGACTGTTTAGCTGCAGTAGTGTCCAAGTTTGTGTTGACACTTGCAGTTTGGAAGAAAAATCGAGCAACCCAGAACTGCAGCATTCAATGTGTTTTGGGGTCTAGAGTTCGAAATGTGTCCTGGAGCAAGTCTTGTGTGCGAATGCCATGTGATCGTGTGTTGTATGCTTCTAGATGCCCACAGGGTGAAACTTTTTTTTGTGAATAGGTTGGCCTCCGAACATACGTTGAAAAGCGTGCTAACAACAAGGGTCTAGTACCTCTAACTGAAGTGTCACGAAACCCCATATTTTCAGATTCCTCAGGTGCCCAACCATTGGGAAAGCATTGGAGTTGCCTATCTCACCTACTACTGGATTGCCAGAAGCTGAGCATGGAGATTGGGCAGATGTTCTCTCCCAGCAGTTAAACCAGTACACTTCTCTTTGTTGTAGGCCCTGTAGGCTCCGTTCCCTTGAAAGCGCGTTCTTTTTCTTTCCCTTTTCCCATAGGCACAGTCAGTTTAGGAGTGTTTTTCCTCCGTATGTGTCATTTTTTTTTTGTTGATGCGGTGGGATACCAGTGGAATGGGGCCGGAACAACGTTCACATTCACCTGCAGGGGCACTTTGTGCTGCACTGGACATTTTTTTTTCTCACTTTGTTACGAAGCTGGTACTATGCTGTACAAACTGTATTCGCTTTTGCACTTCGTTAAATACATATGTGGCCTACGCTGGACATATACTTGGTGCTACGCTGGACACAGTCGCTCCTGCACTTAGTTGATGCTACACTGGACTTATAATATATTTCAACACGTTTTTGAAGTTGTGTCAGCTATATTGCATGTTGTCATTATATTACCAATGTTGCGAACTGATATGATTTCATTATAAAATGCAATCCTTGAACTTTTGCAAGGTTGAACTACCATTTGTAATTTTACGAAATAATGCTTTTGATTGAACAAAAGCAAGGTCCAGGCACATATTAACAAGGGACCAACCGTCGTAAGGATGCTGACAGCCAAGTCATCCTTGATCAAAGTCCCTAGCTCAGAGGGCATCACTGTGGCATCGTTGGCACTGTAGCTCTCTGTCAGACAGCAGGCCAAATCTGACATGACAAATATGACAATCCCATTGATGATCGGATTTGGAAACATTGAAAAACCAGAGCTTGAAGCAGGGGTGGAGCACCTTGTTGAGCTCCTTTGGGCCGTTTGTGGCTTGCCTTTTGCAAGGAGACGTAGTGGCGAATGAAACCTTCATCTTCGTAGAGCAAGCTTTGGAGGCCTTGCAACTCTGGAGTCAGAGGAGTCAGAGAGGGAGACACAGCAGGAATCAACGGATGTCATGTCTCCAGGCCGCTGAAAGCGTGCTCATCCACTCTGTACGCGGGCAGCCGGGAAACCCAGTTGTAGATGCGGACAGCCTGAGGGGGCCCGAAAGAGGAGCAGCTGACTCAAACAGGAATGCGTCGCGACCGTGGCCGAAAGCAGAAAGATGATATGGACATGGAGAGAACCAAGGATAAATGATAAATGTCAAGTTTATTTCATATATCGTACGAATCGTACAAGTAGGGACAAACTTTTGATGCTCATCTGCCAGGTCGAGGTCATGCTCGGCTGGGATCCTCAGCGGGGTAGAAAGCTTTGGGCTCCGGCATGTGGCAAGTCCACGACAGTACGCCATACCGAAGATGTCATGCAGCGTTGGCATCATAAACGCCATGCTTTGCCAGGCTTCTCGCACCTTAACAGCCTTAACACTCCTCAACTTTTAGAACATGTCTTGTTCTGGTTGCAGATACTTGCGGCGTATATGATGAAGAAGTATTCGTGGGGGCTCCGAAAGACTATGGAGTTTCTCAGCTCCCGACGTCCAGGTGGGCAACACTTTTACATGATTGAGATTCATATGTTGTTTTCGTATTTGCATAATTTTGCATACTTCATTTGCATTTTGTGTGATGTTGTGCGTCTTTGCGTTCGACAATGGTTTCCAGGATCAACACAAGATAGCATTTGATAATGAGCCGCGGTGTGTCGGTTGCATCAGATTTGGATCTGAAACCGGCCTTTCTACAGCAGCTCTTGGGCTTTGAGCGGTAGGGGACCCAGCATTGGCGTCGTCGCATGTTCCCACTGCATTCGACATTTCCAGTTCCAGTTCCGTCCAGGCGCCTCATGGCGCAATCAAAGCAGTCTTTCAGCAAACGGCTCAGAGACATATCAAAGTCATCGAAGTCTCAAGTGGTAAAATGTTGCAAATCACCAAAGAATCAGAAAGAATCATCAAGATCAGGACAAATCCCATCCGCACTTCGTCGGCGGTGCCGAGGTTCAGACTGGAATGACAACTGCAGCATGAATCGCTGGGAGTGCGAGGTCAGGGAGTGAATGCTTTGATCTGTTTCAGAGAGGAATATTCTAGGTGGTCTTGAAAAAGATACATCGGTACATCGTCGAAACAAATCATTGAGAGACTTACTGTATGTGGGAGATTCTGGGAGATGCTATCCTTTGCCACTAGCAGGAACTTCTCCTTCGCAACACCTACATCAACAGTCAAATGGGCCCCCTGGCAGAGATCCAGTGGGCATCTCAGGAGTGTGGAATCACTTCGATAATAAACACATTTTGGATGATTTTGGCATGTTTGAGCTGCAGATAGCTGCAGCTTTTTGCGATTCAAATAGGTCCATGTTAGGTCTGGTTAGACCATCAAGCTGAGGTTGGAGGCCCCTGGTAGCATGAAGGCTCAACGCCTTGAATGGATGGATGGTGGTCTCGATGACAGGCACGGATGGAAATTTACCAGTGAGCTTAGTGGATCTAGGGTCGTTTTGCCGGTCCGTTGCAGGTTTCGGCTGGAGAAGCCACCAGGTGGGGAAGGGAGACTTGTGGTCGCCACTGGGCATGGAGGGTTTACGCTCCGCCGCCTGAGAGGAGCTGATCGGCTGAATTTACAGGCCTGCAAGCGTGACCAGCAGGGTAGCCGAGACGCTGCCGCAGGTTCAACTTTTGTCAAGAGGGTTCATCCAGTACCGTGATTACCTAATATTACCTCAATGTAGTGTTTGCAAAGTCGAACTCGCTCATCAGCCCGCTTACAGCTCGTCAGCGAGTAGGCATGGATTGATGCCCGGAACGCCTCCCATGAGCTCTGAGGAACGGACAGCCTGTCCTGGCTTGCATTTTAAAGAGACGCTTGGGACAGTCAAGTGGAGCTGGTGTTGCTCAGGACAGGGAGATCATTCCTTGGTTCAAGTGAATTTTGAGACTGGTCGGCGCGTGAGTCCTTTTTCTTTCCTGTGCAAATGCTGCGCCCTGTCATTTCGATTGTATTTCAATTCATTTCATGGATTGTTGTTGGGCACCCATGGGCACCTATGGGCACCCAGTGGGTCAATCTTGTCGAAAGATGTCGAGAGATGTCGAAAGCAGGAACAAAACCACAAAAATGGCTGGACAGCTCCGGTCGAAAGCCCAGATGGCTTGGGATCCGGGGTGATCCGGGATGTTGTGAGCTTGGCTGACTGATGCTACTTAGCAATCATCTAATGCTCGGTAAAGGGTGAACGGGTGTACATGCCATTTCAATGAGTATTCTTTGGGTGTCTTCTGTAAAATGTTCTAAGTAAGGTTTTTCAACCGTTTTTCAAAACAGTGTAAGAAGGAAGGACACGGGGCCCCGATGCATGAATGCAAGAGTCACAAGTTGATATCCCTGAGACTGTTCAGAATTTGCTTGATTTGAGCTCAGAAAAACTTGCGTTTGATGCTCCATGACTTGTTGGGCTGCATTAGCATCACAGCGTTGGTTTTGAGATTGCAGATGGCTCTTGCGATATCCTGGGATCAGTGGAAAAAAGTCCGAAAGTTGCTCAGTGAAGTGCATGAGCCAAGAACTTGCAATTGTTCATGATAGGTCCTGCAACAACCATATTTAGCAATATGCAACCAACGTCACCGACATGTACTTCACACTTACTGCTGCCACCAAGCGTTGGGCCATGGTGGTGAAACAGCGCGGTCGATGCCCTGACTCTGATGTGCTGTCGCTGGACTGCGGCTGTCTCGCCGGAGTCAGGACAGTTTCAACGGTATCAGCCCATCTTTTCGTTTTTGGGGGAGTGGATGCTGCAAAGGTATGATTAGACAAATTATGAGAGAGATTGCTAGATAGGTCGGATATGATAGGTATTCAGATATATTCAGATAGGTCCAGATAGGTATTGTAGGCATGGGTCACATGTGGTTTTTCGATTGCCAAGTTCAACTCACGCCCGCTGTGTAGGCTCTGCTTCAGAGCTGCCTCAGCTCCCCTTGTGGCAACGCCGGCCCCGTGAGACGCTCATCACCGCCAAGGTGTGACAAGAAATACAGCGGCCAAGTGGCCACTTGCCAACTTCAACTACAATGATGACTAACAGTGACTACCTATTAATTAATTAATTAATGTATTTATTTTTATTTATATATTTATAGCTAAACTATCTAAACTTATGCTTTTTCATTGGTATTCGGAAAAATGGCTCATATGCCACGGAGCAATCATTCCTTTGTTCAAAAGCATGTGCAGCGCCTGGGTCATTTGACATGGTAGCCGTTTAGTCTTGGAATCAGAGTGAGAGTGACACTTTTGAGACGAGGATTCACCCGATGATTTAGTAAATTTAACAAAACTTCATTCAAAACTTCATTGCGCAATTTTGATTTAGCTGCTTTCGCCACTCAGAAAAGCCATCCATACAATTCTACATGGCATAAAAAGTGATGTGGGAGGTGAAAGGGTGCCGAGTAGCTTTCAAGCAAAGTGACCGGCTTGCAGGCCGCTTCTGGCGTGAGCAGTCCGAGTGACGATGAAGCGATTTTCCTCGAATTGCAGCAGAGGTGGGTGCAGCAGGGACAGTATGCTGGAGCACCTGCAGCCAGTGCCATGAGGTATCCACTTAAGACCCAATTGAGCTTCACCAAGAAAGAAAGGGCCACAAGGTATCCAGCTTGGACTCAACCATAGAGTTTCTGAGCTGACCTCTGTCCGCCCCACTTTCTTTTGCTATTGTATTTTCAGATCTTTCAGAGACTTTCAGCGTTTCAGCGCTTGGTCCCAACATGCACTCTTGATTGTACTGTCGTAGTTCCTCACCTTTGCTCAGGCGTTCGTCCGGTTTGCAGTTGTGCTATGCTGAGCCCAATTTGCCGAAGGTGTGGCCACCAGAGACAACCCTGTGACAAAGCAGAGGTTATTGTTTTGTTTTAGGCATCCTTTGAAGGTCGTAAAGGGCGGCGGACATGCACACCCGATCACACCCTACCACCCAAAGATCACAAAAAATGTAGGGTGAGAGCCTTTTCATATCCTTAAGTCAAACTTCCGACAATATGGACAGATGGAAAAGCAGAGGTGGGAAGAGTCAGAGAGGAGAAGAGCAGAAGAGAGAAAATCAGAGAAGAGAAAGAGTGAGAAGAAAGAAGATGCAGGTGCGCGAAAAGGTAGAAAAGTCGCAAAACACTGAGTTTTTCCAATGATTTGTGGCTCCAGAGGGTCGAAAAGTAGGCTCGCTAAAGCGGCGGGTGCGGAGCCATCTGGCCGGATGAGAGATGAAAGATTGCACGCCGTTGTGGCGCGAAGCACGATTCGAAGTCAAAATGCGCAAATCACCTCAGCTTCAGGGTACTTTTAGAAGTTGAGATGTCAAAAAAGTGTACGCCGTTTTGGCGCGAAGCACATGTGGAAGTCAAAATGTACAAAGCACGTCAGCATCGGAACGCTTTTGGAAGTTGAGATGTTGAAAAAGTGCACGCCGTTGTGGCGCAAAGCACATTTCCACGTCAAAAGCGCAAAAAACTGTGGGGTACGGAGCGCTTTTGGACGTTCAGATATGGTTTCGTGTGGCAGGATCAAGGGATTGTGCACCTTGTCAAAAAGTGAGCAAAACGTGAGGGTTCTGTAGCATTTGCAAAAACTATGGCAGGCGTGGGGCATTCAAAGAGGATCTGCAAAGATGCATTTCGCGTGGCAGGCGCAACATGTTCATCAGAGATGTTGGGAGGTCAGGCCGCTGATTTCCTGAGAGGGGTTGCATTTTGGAGCATCAGATCTTCAGGTTTGCGAAGATGATTTTGCGTGACAGGTGCAACATTTTGTATGACCTGGCATCACTTTTTCGTGGCAGGCGCAGTACTTTAGACAGATGGAGTCGAAACATCGCAAAACGCATTGGTACGAGGCCGTCAGCTCTGCATTCAGCTTTCCATTCTTGAAGGAAGTCTCGCAGAATGCTTTCGTTTTTGACCCCGGGAGGAGATTTCCGGCTGGTAGAGGGTGATCATCATCCTCATTTTCATCTTCATCCTCACCCTCCTCATCCTCATCATCCTCATCATCATCCTCATCCTCATCCTCATCCTCATCATCCTCTTCGTCCTCCTCGTCGTTGATCAGCATCCTCATCCCCTGGTCCCGCTGGGCCATTGGGTTTCTGCAGGTATAGGCTCGTCCTCTTCAGTATTTCATCTTCAGGACGTCATGTTCAGTAAACCAACCAACAACTCTATTAAATCATCGTCGGAAACTTGCCGGCTTCCAAATGGTCATAGTTATCTTCCTCCTCCTCCTTGTCGTCATCATCAGCATCATCATCATCACCATCGTCATCATCATCATCATCATCATCCTAATCATCATCATCATCATCAGCATCATCATCATCATTTTCCTCAACATCATAGCCATTATCCTAATCCTAATCATCATCATCATCACCATCATCATCCTCATCCTCATCCTCATCCTCATCCTCATCCTCCTCATCCTCCTCATCATCCTTCTCATCCTCCTCCTCCTCCTCATCATCATCATCATCATAATCCCCATCACTCGCAGCATCCACATCATCATCATCAACAACATCATCATCCTCATCATCATCCTTATCATTAGCATACATATGTTGCATTGTCTCGAACATCTTTATGCAGATTCGGGGTTCCATTTGGGGGGTGTTTTTTTTTGATATTGCGTTTCTTTTGCTTACAACACTTGGCGAGAGACGATTACTGCATCGGGGGGTTTTCGCTTACTGGACTCAATAGATTTTGCGACCCTACAACAGCCCATTGCCGCATTCCGACTTCACCTTGCTAACCCTACCCCAGCCCTGCTAGCTTTCGTACCTCCCCCCTGGCCTCAAGTCAAGTTCAAGAATAATTGCTGCGTGTTTGACGTTGCTAAGTTCAAAAAATGAGGAAGTCTCGCAGAATTGCTTCGTTTTTGGTGTTCTCACAGAATAGCTGCGTTTTCAAGCTTGCAGATAGACAGATAGATAGACAGCTGCAGCTACAACTACCACTATCACTACGCTACAGTACTACTACAACTACTAATACAACATACTACACTACGTTACACTACGTGAACTACACTACACTACACTACCGTAGATCTACTGTAGTAACATCTAAATACACCACACTACACTACACTACACTAATTGCACTAATTACACTACTTACACTAATTGCATTAATTGCACCAATTACACAACAACAACAACAACAACTGCTGCTGCTGCTGCTGCGACTATTACTACTACCACCACCACCACCAAAGCTACAAGCACAATTGCAACTACAATTCGTTACACTACACTGATGACACTGCAGTAAAGTACAACCACAACTACAAAGACAAGTACAACTGCAACTACAACTACCACTACCACTACACTACAATACTAGTACAACTACAACTACAACTACAACTACAAATGCAACTACAACTACAACTACAAATACAAATGCAAATACAAATACAAATACAAATGCAAATGCAACATACTACACTACACTACACTACACTACACTACACTACACTACACTACACTACACTACACTACACTACACTACACTACACTACACTACACAAATTAAACTACACTACACTAATATCATCCAATTACACCACGCTACACTTACACTAATTAGACTAATTGCACTAAGTACATTAATTGCACTAATTACACTAATTGCACCAATTGCATGACAATAGCAACAACAACAACAGCAACAACAATTACCATTACTACTACTACTGCTGCTGCTGCGGCTGTTGCTACTCCTACTCCTACTCCCACTCCTCCTCCTACTCCTCCTCCTATTCGTATTCCTATTCCTACTACTACTACTACTGCTACTACTAGTACTAGTACTAGTACTGGTACTAGTACTACTGCTACTACTCCTACTCCTACTACTACTACTGCTACTACTACTACTACTACTACGACGACGACGACGACGACTACGACTACGACTTACGGCTACGGCTACGACGACGACTACTACTACTAATACCACCACAGCTACCATTTGAATTACAACTGCAATTCATTACAATACGCTAATTACACTGCAGCAGGCTAGAACCACAACTACAAATACAAGTACAACTGCAGTTACAACTACAACTACCACTACATTTCACTACATTACACCACACTACACTACACTGCACTCAACTCACTAGACTACACTGCACTATACCACGCTACAGTACACATCACTACGGTACACTACACTAGACTAGACTAATTACACCACACCACAGCCACAATTACAACTGCAACTGCATCTACACCTGCGTTGCACTAATTCCATTACACTACAACTACAACTCCATTACGCTACAGCTACATCTGCGCTACACCACACTACATCCAGCAGTTGTGCTGATGTGACCGCTGCAAGCACTGCAACCACTCCAAAAACCACAGCTCCAACCACCTTTCAGTCCATCAGCGGATTCACTCTGCCATCCGTGATTCGCAACAACCAACTTCTCCTATAGGTTTCCTAGTTGTGCGGACTGGTAACACCTAATCGGACTAGCGAATGGTAGTTGGTTCTTCTTGGCATTTGTTCTCGTGGGTCGCGTCTTTGAAGGGACCCCATTTGACCGTGCCAGGGCACGGACGATCTCATTTTGGCAGCGCGACCAGGAGGCAAATTTCCACTCCTCCTGGCAGGAGTTGAATGCTCTTCTGGAGCCCTTTGACGGATTGGATTTGAGTCTGTTCGAACCCTTTGTTTAGTCACATGTGATAGTTCGAAAGCAGTTGGGCTGTCCCAAGGAAAGGTCTCCGCACTTTTGGCGTGAATAAGAATTGGGGCAGAGAACGCAGTTCCCACTCTTGGGCACATCATGGCCTTGATTTTTTAAATTTTTTCATCCTGCTTTTGTTTGGTGCCCATTTCCAACCTCGTTTTGATTTGACACTTCTCCTCATTTTCGTAAACTGATGTAGTCCCTCAAAATGCAAATTTCTAAGATTCAGTTCTCGCAAACGTTGGAAAATTCAAAATTGCCTGTAGACCTCCCTGTGGATCTTAGATTGGATTGGGATGATTTTTAACTACTTAAAGTGTTACTCTTCGTTGTATGTGTCCATCTGGGACATTGTAAACTGCTGTGCCAGACTTTTTTCCAACTTGAAATGTCAACATGCTATAGATGCTATAAGACAAAATCGTTCCACGTTGTGAGTACGTACCCCGGCATGATTATATGTAGAATCATAATTTGAATTTCAGAAATTAATTTTTAGATTTCGGTGGTTGAACTGGATGTGTTCAAGGCACGTGGAATGAACATCCAGATTTTGATTCAGTATGTTTTGCCGTGACTCCAACAGAATGAAACGAATCATGTAGTCAAAAGGAGAGATTTGGACATATGTCAAAGACTAGATTAACATTGCGAAAATAAAGTACGCTATGCGTTTGAAAGATCCTTGCTATATCTCCAAAGCGAATGGCCACTGCATCCTTCTACATCTTGAGCTTTGCATCCCCGTTTTTTTCAGATTTGAACTCTTTGAATTGAGACCATTTCCTCTGGCCTAAGCATCCTGGCTCTATTCACCCAAGCACAAAGAATCATCAATCCATTTGCCTCAGTGGGAGAAAGCAGATAATTGCATTGCCTCTCTGAGGCTGTTTTGAACAAACTGCTTGAAGCACATGGTCTAACAAACGTATGATCAAACAAGTAACTCTAAAACCACAGTCTGGTGAATCTCACACTTAAAATCTGTTCTGGTCTGAACCCCCCCGAATGTGCCTGGCTCGATTGCTGAGAACCAGCATTATTTGAGTGCGAAACGCACGGGCACGGCGGCAAACACATGCTGATTTCATGGGGGGAAATGGATAGCGACATTATGGTTTGTCCAAAAATGCTATCCGTTTGAAGCTGCCTGCAGCGGCATCACTTTGCATCAGACAACTGCTGGCCTCTGTCAGCTGCCCAGGTTCATTTGCTTGGAACGGATGATGATCAATTGTCAGACCTCAAGACTCATTTGGAAAAGCTTGGGTATCAGGCCAGGCAAGCATAAGGTCTACGTGGAATTTTTCCAGCATCGCAGTTCCTGTTGAGCTCATTCAGTGGCCATATCATTCTCTTGTTGGGGTTTATGCCTTACATGGAAGGCATTTTTTCCCCCGGGAAACCATGCGAAACGCAATCGTTCCAAAACTGTGCATCCAGACTGCCAGCAATGGGCGAGCTACCCAACAGTCGGCCAACGCAGGGACGGAAGTCAGGAAAGAAGGAGTTTCGTGTGATGATCTTTGGCGTGGAGGCCAAAGCCAATGATGGTGCCGCCCCAGCTGCTCAGCTGCAAATAATGGCGGCTAAAGTCTTGAGATTTGGTTTCCATGGATGAAGTGATAATATATCATGTATAAATATATATAAGTCATAGAAAATCTTTGAAGATCCGAAACATCTGAAAACTAGGGATTCTGCAGCAGATTTCCAGCGAAGATGAAATTTTCTGGGAGGCCCTGAGCTCACTTTCGGCTTCTCAACCGAGGCTGAGCCACTTTGGTCAGAGCCATCTGGACCCTTGAAGAGCCTTTGCTGGGACCATGGGGGTGGCTGCTTTGCTGCTGCCTCCGAATGTGCCTTGCTCGCACAGGAAACCCATGGCGGAACCCTGCCACAGAAACCTCAACGCTTTCGCTTGAAATTCGGCTAATGATGGTCACGTGTAGTGACTGGTTGCAAGCTTGATGTCAGAGAGGTGTTAACAGATCTCCTTGGAAACGCAAGTCTTATCCTTTGATCATCCTTGTGTTGATTTGCAGATGGCAGCCACTTTTGGCTTAGAACTTCCCACACCCCTCGAACATCTCTTTCAGGTGGCAAAGGCTGCCAAATCGATGTTTGGAGCGTTCATGATGGAACAGCGCACTCCATAGGCAATGGACCACACTATGTGACTTCAGTTGCTTTGAGGGGCTTTAATTTTTTCATCTTGGGCCAGACGAAAAAAGCTATGTTTGAGTCCATTTCAGACTGTACATAACCATGGGTGGGTGTGAAGCCAACAAAATGCCTTGATGCAGCTGAAACAAAGCCACACAATTACTTGCTATAGTTTTGTATGTATCTATCCATCTATCTATCCATCCATCCATCTATCTATATAGGCGGGACGCTTTTGGAAGTGACACCGAAACTCGACTAACTAGACCGAATGACAAGGCCAGATAGGCCGGATAGGCAGTTCTTGCAGCGTAGGCCGCCTGGCAGCTCTTCATCAGCCTTGGCCACTGGATGCAATGTGCTTCAGTGGTTTCCGCCTAGCTGCTGCGGCGCGTGGATCTTGCTGCACCTTCATCTCCGTGATAGATGTGCCCTAGCTGCCCTATATATCCCTATATCAGATATGCTGAAATGGACATGGTCTGAAGGGGGTGCGGGTGGCCATGCTGGGAGGTTTCGTGTGAATTTCTGCGTTGTTTATCTATGCGAAGTGGAAAGGACAACCCGTGCTGTTGGGTAGGTGGTGCTCAACTCATACCAGTATCAAATGAAAATCACTGTAGGATTGGAGTCATTTGCAGGTGTTTCCACTAGGTCACTAGGTCATTGGTAAGAGAGAGCCTCTGACAAAGTGCACTTTCATGATGTCATCTTCTTGAGGCCTACTGAGTAGCTGTAAAACGGAACGAAGGAAGAGTTCGAACGTCCGCATTGGCAGAAAGGGGCCGGGGCCGGGGCCATCAATCTGAGGTGGATACCCGCCTCGAACTGTGCCGCCTTGTTCTTCCCAAAGACACCTCGCCTCGTTGCATCAACCACTTTCTGCTCCCGCTCGAAGGATCACATTTTTTTGTATGTGCATATGTCATATGTGACTTATACTATTATTTGTGTTATATGTCTTTTGCATATGAAGAGGCAAAAAAAGTCCCATGGCGTTTTGCTGATCATGGTCAGCCTTCCACAGCTTAAGGCAGTTGACCGTTTGAGTGCCTTTGCATCCCGAATTCATGAGCGAGTTGGCGACACCAGGTTTTGTTTCGGTTTGGTTAGGTATCTCAACCAGGCTAAGCAGTGTCTCCTCAGTATTTGAAGCTGCCCCAGCGACACAAGGAGCATCAAAGGAATGCCTCGTGCTCGCTGCTGATCACAGGGTCTTCCTCTGGAATCTTGACTCAGGACAGAGAGGAACCAGGGGTTGGGGGTAGATTTTTGCCTTGAGCTTTCGAAAGAAACCGCAGGAGCTTCCGATGAGGGGAAGTTTGCTGATGTGGCATATTCTGATGGAGATCATTGCCGCTTCCTAAGTTATTGGCCGTCGCAGTTCCAGGGCATACTGTATATGCTTGCAGTTTGTCCTTAGACTTTGCCATGGTGGTCACTTGCTCAGAAAAATTGGGATCGACTGAATTCGAACAGGAGCTGAACTTGAGGATGGAGAAGGACATTTTGAACCCCCTTTCCTGCCCATGCCCTCCCTGTTGCCCTAGGCACGGACGTGATATTGGCACAGGATCAAAATAGCCCTCTTGCAGTTTTGAGCTTAGATTGAAACACCGGCTGTAAGTCGTGCGTGATGCCGTGGTGAGTGGACCTTGCACTGAAGTAGTAAGCAGCCAGAATGCTTTATGTGAGTGACCCCCAACCAGGCTAATTCCTTTGTGGGGTGGGCCGAGGTTACTTTTGTCACGGACGGTGGCCCTGCCTACCATGCAGGTGTAGAGGCTTCTAGTGGCACCTTGGCACATGTCGTGGGTAGATGACTGGCAGCAGCTCAAATGCCATCGTAGACGGAACTGCTGAGGCTGGCTTCTTTCTGGTTGGCGGCCTCTGCATCCATCAGATGGCAACTACTTTCTCAACGTGCCCTGGGAAGCGGACTCATGGGCAAACATCAAGAAAATGAAGCAGGTGCCAGGGCAGCACAGACATCATGCTGGATGCTTTGCATCCGGGTATACTGGAATCAGGTAAGGCTTGAATCTGCCATCACCCTGTGTCACTTCCGGAATGAAATATATGAAATCAGATGTGGAGACAAGAGTGACTGCAGGTTTGTTGTCATTTTGTTGTCTTTGAGACTTGCAGAATCTTTCAGAATCTTTCAGAATTCTTGTTCGCTTTGTGTGCGGTCGAGGTTCTCTTGCGCTTTCAGTCGCCCAAATTGGACATTGCCACTTTGGAGCTGGATGACTCGGTCAACTGCGCCGTGCCATCGGAGGATGGCACTTTGCTGGCCGTGGGCTGCAAGAAACTTGGCGGAGGCCGGCACGGACGTGGAGCTACACTTTTTTCGGAAACAAAACCTGAACGGATATGAATGGTAGAGATATGCATCACTCAGTGATGTTCGTTTGTGATTGTGAAGGGTGAAGCCAAGACAACATTAGGACAAAGCAGGTAGAAATGCCACGGTCAATGTGGATGTCTCAGCAATTCTCAAAGGCCAACAAGACCTGGAGGCAGTTTCTAAAGAAAACCTCCAAGCCTCTGCTGTTTCAGTGCCCCTGTCATTTTCAAACTGGTAGCCAGCTTCAATCCTCAAAGTCAGGGGACTCTGCCCTAGATCAGGCCAAAGCCGGAAGTCAGCAACAGGCTGGGGCATTGTTCAGAGGATGGTGAAAGTATGGACTTAGTCGAAGAGTCAATTCCTGCCTGGCCTCAGGCAGTGAATTGAACCAACCCCAGGTACACACATGGAGGGAGTGCCAGTGTTTGTTTTCTGGTCGCTGGTTCCCCTCAGGTCAGCGAAAAAGCCAACTGCTGGAGTATACCCACAGCACTTTGTCGGTTTGGAGCCTGGAAACTGGAGAGCCCTTCGTCCTCATTTTGAACGTTTGGGACGTGCTATGTAGCTATTTTCACAACGCTTCGCTTACTGAAGTATATAATTTACTGTAATTGTTTTTGACTGCAAACCTCAAGGGCTGGTTTGAATAGATAGATAGATAGATAGATTAGATTAGATTAGATTAGATTAGATTAGATTAGATTAGATAGATAGATTAGATAGATAGATTAGATAGATAGATTAGATAGATAGATTAGATTAGATAGATAGATAGATAGATAGATAGCTAGGTAGATAGATAGATAGATAGATAATATACAGTATATATTTTTTCTCTCCTCTCTGGTTGATTGTCTTTACAGGTAACTAATAAGACTCATCCCACTGAGCTCGCGACGTGCACCTCCTTCGAAATTATCGTTCATAATTGCAAATCAAAGACCAGTCAGGTCTCCATTTGTGTCTAAATTTACGTGAGCCGCCCAAAGATTGACCTTTGCAACACATGGAGGCTTGAACCTTGAAAAGCGTATTTAAGAGCATGTTGAAAGCTTTAAGGGGTTTGAGTTTTGAGGCCGAATGGTGCGGCATGTTTCGCAGCCCCCGTTTCTGGCCCAGCCCAGGGGAAGGCAACAAGTAGGGATTGTAGCCACAGTTTGCGAAAACGCTGAACCAAGGTACCAAAACCCAGCTCAGGAAAAGAACTCCCGGCACGAAATCAAATTGGACAATGAAATATAAATAGATGAATGAATGAATAAACACATAACAAACACACACACATGTATATATCATATAAATTTATATTATGACAGTGGTTGACGTGGAAAAGCGATTGCCGTAAGATGTAGGGTCGCTGTGGTGCCGTGGTTCCGTTGTACCCAGGTTCTGGCGCACCAAAGAGGTGCATCTCAGCGCCAGTATCCCTGCGCTCTGCTGGCTGAACAGATATGAGCTGGCGGTGGTCATGCGGGACATCTATGCCGCCACCAGATGCGAACGGGGCACAGGGGGCACGGGGGCACGGCCTGGCGATGGGACTTGGGGTCTACCAAATCCAAATCCCTGTGCAAGCCTTCGTATCTTCACACGTGTTTATGAATATGTTTGGAACTATTAACTATTGCATGTGGGGTGAAGATGCTTGTGGCCGAATTCACAGTGGCAGCGAATTCAACCTGTCGGACAGTCAGGTTGGAGTCGTGAACATCGAGTCAGGAGCCCTGGTGCGAAGGCAAGATTCTGGGGTTATTTTTGATACCTGAAGGTAAACAACAAGCTACACCAGTATCATTAGTTCATTGTTAATGATCCCCATATTTCCTCAAGCATCCTTCCACTGCTCTCAGACATGCAGGTGGTCATTCGGGACCTGGAGCCCAAAAGTTATTGCTACCACCAATTGCTGTCCATGGATTGCTGTTGGCACGACGACGCTACTCGGCTATGACAACTGCAAAAAGGGAAATTGTTGGTTTTGCACTGCCCATTCAAATTCCCCTCTGAGCCCTGTCAATATTCGACTGCAAATTATCATCGTATTTGATCAATTCACTCGGCAGGGATATGTACTGTACACATACACTCTGTATGGTATATATATATGTTAAATATAGTACTAACAATAACAAAGACAATAACAATAATAGTAACACCTACACATAATACAAATAATTTCAATTATATCATTATATAATATAACAACAATAGTAATATATCATATATATCTATATTATATCATATCCATATATCTGCAGTTTATACTTATATACTTATATATATATATTTGTTTATGTACTGCACATGCATATATACTGTATGATCTGAATGTTTTTTTTTCAATCTCTCTCTCTCTCTCTTCCCTTTGTCATGTCCTCTCTCTCCCTCTCTCGCTGAACCATGAAGATCAATGATATGTGCATGTGATCTCTTCGATATGCATCAGTTCCTTTTCTTTTTGGCACGCTTGAATTTCCATCCATGTTGCAGGGGCCGCGGCTTGCAATGCCGGGTGACAGTCTTTTCAGCGAAGGGAGGAGGATGCATACTGCCCGCGGCACTCTCGAGCAAGACTTTGGTTGCAACCGGGCATGCCAAAGCTTTGCCGGCAATGGCTTTTAATGACACCGGTCAATTCTTGGCAGTGCCTTGACTCAGCCATTCACCTGTGATTTTGTCGGCTGTGGGAATATGTGGGACATGTCGTCAGCTGTTTGAGCTCCGCTGTTTGGACGTGTCGTCAGCGCGTGCAGGTTGAAAGCGAAGATGGAAGTGACCGTTGTGACCGTTTCGAGAGCACCTTCGATGGATCCACACGGACACCACGGACAACAGGGACAACAGGGACAACGATGTCGATGGATACTGGGATTCTTGGGATGGCACTTAGACTGGCACTTAGACTGTCTCAGGAAAGTCTTGGATGTTGGTTGATGTTGGCTGCACTTGTCTATACAATACTGTACATACCCAGGACCCTGGACCCAGTTTCCTTTCCCTGGTGTGGGTGATATGCATGGTAGCTGGACACCCAACAATGATCTTAGCTCTAGTTTTGGACATCAGATCCCGCGACTCAGGAGGCGTTCCAGGCAGGATTGCAAGATCCATTTGTCCATTTCCATTTCCATTATCTCCATGTGGGGTGGCGCCTGTTCTCCATCGTAGGCGCATGGAACCTCGCTTGGTGGTGTGGCAAATTGGAGACACAAATATGCAGAAGGCAGGACGAGATGGGGACTCCAGGACTGCGACAACTGTGTTAGTTACCTGTGTTACCGAAATCACTCAGCAGATCTTCTCGCAGACTTCTGCAACTTCTCTGTAATGATTGTAATTGTTGACTGCTATACAATATTATAATTATTATACAATAGGCTTCTCAGTCCCCTTCCAAAAGACGGCATTTCTTTGCAGTGCCTCTTTTTCAACGAGACACGATCCTGCGATCCGCCGTGGCAGGTGACGCCTCCGAATTGCCACATTGGAAGTTTAGTCAGTGTGGCGCTTTCTGGAGCCCTATTGGCTGCATGTTTCCATATCCACGACTCTGGCATGGACTTCCTGAAGGCAGCTGCTAATAAGTTGATGTGCGACACAATTTATGGCAATTTGGAGCTTGATTTCTGGAAGGTATTTGGGACTTTTCCTTCTTTTATGTGAAGAATAATTGAACATTTGTGACAGCTTCGGAAGGGATGTTGCTCATTGTGTTGGCATTGCCATGTGCAGGTCTTCCGGTTGCCAAGTGACAAGTGGCCACAGCCGCGTGAGTTGTTCTGTGGATCTTTGGAGCAAATTGACCGACATCAAACGGTGGCCGTCAAGTCCTCCAGCGATGGCGAGTTTGGCATTGCTGCCGTGGCTGGGAATCAGTCCGGTCAGTTCGTTGGTTTGGTATGTTGGACAGGCGAATTTACGGCGAAGGAGAAGCTCAGGTGTGCCAAGCATCACATTGAGGTGGTGGATTTACAATTTCTGCCTGGGCAAGACTTTCTAGCAGCTCAGTTGCAGTCGATGTGTAGCTGACTCTGTTTCTGTTTTCAGGTCCCCTCAAGCTAAGCTTCCAGACAGTCAACATTTTTGTGGGCAACTATGTGATTCTCACGTTAAACTGAGGCCGGCTTGGTAAACCTGAAGGATCACAAGGATCCCAGTGCAACAGACAAGAATGCCGGCTCCATTTGCTGCATATGGAACCTTTGCACACCCGGGGTGGCTCAGATTTGCCACGAAGTTCGCCTTCAGGGTATGCCACGCGGACTGTCCTTGATGGCCGTGGGCCATGATTTTCAAAGACGGCATCGGGAAGAGGATCGACGTAACTCTCCAGTCAGGCAAGGCAGGCACTCCATATCCCATGCAGGTCTGGTGGCAAGAGATTCTCATCCTCCAGCGCAAGTGGCTACGAGTGGTGAGAGCTCAATTATTGTGGTGCATGAGGTCCGCACTGGCTTCCGGACATTTCTTGACATCTCTAAGGAAGCTTCCGATGCTGAGGGTGCCAAGAGGGTATCGGCGGTCCCCAGAGTTTTGCGCTTTGCATCGTCCGGTCGGCTCCTTGCTGTGGGAGACAATTGTGGGCAGGTTCACCTGTTCCAATTGGGACATTCAACAAGCGAATCAGCCCACGGACGAGCTATCCCAGCTCATCGGGTTCTGTGCCTCAGTGGCGAAGTGGTGGACATTGCGCTGCATGATGAACAGCTTGCCAAAGTGGCTTGCTGGCACGCCACACAGTCGCATGATCCCGACGAGAAGGATGCAGGATATGCAGGGCCTGAATCTGTGGAGGAGGAAAACAAAGTTTTGGTTCACTTCACTTTGCTCAGTCAACTTTTTCTTGTTTTTGGTTACTTCTCTTCCAACATTTTCAAGGACTTGCTTGCGGATTTACTTTGTGTCCACTTGCCTTTTACACGGAGACCGCGCATATAGGATTGACTCGGACAGCCACAGGGTCCAAGCTAAGCAGCTAAGGTATACGATTTGTTGAATCCCTGTTTAGAGTTTCTGCTGCCCGATTTGAAGATGAAGGCCGAGGATGCAACTCGGACGGCCGTGTTTTTGCCACAAAGATTTGCGCTTCCCTGGGCAGACTTGGGTCCCATATGGTCCCATGACCTAGAGAGCATCTATATTTGCGTCATTTTGCGTCTACTTCATGAGTGTTTTGCCAGATTATGTTATATCATGTTATATCTCCAGTAGGCCATGGAAAACATCCCTGCATGAAGAAGCATGAGGAGCTATAGTACACATATAGCACATATATTCGTGCGTGATCATAGTACCATCAGCACTCCCCCGTCATCAGCCTGGCTGAGTCAAGCTCCGCCTTCTGCGCCCAGCTGGACTTGATGCCCAGTCTTCTGCACCAGAAGCTGCCGGACTTAGGCCGGAGTCTGCGACCACCTAAGGAACTGGTAGCAGCTAGTAGCGCAAGTGATGAAATCTTCGGTTATATAAGTGCGGCTATCACAACGTCTGAGAACTTATTGACACTTCTCGCATCAAGATGCAGAATGTAAATCAGCACATGCACGGAGACACTCCTGGTGTGCCACCACTGTGGTGATTCAAAGTCCAGGCTGGACGCTGCTGCACTGCTGTGCTTGCCGGGGCCAAGCTCAACACGCTCGACTTCTGGTGAGGCTGTCTGCCTCACCGTTTCAGCGAGATGACAGTGGTCGGAATGCGCCTGGGCGCAAAAGATTGGTTTGAATCTGTGGATTCAGCTGCGGCTCCTGTGAACTTTGTGGTGATTCCAGAATTCTAGAATTGTTGTAGAATAGACATAATAGACGACTTAGAGTGGCGCACAGTTCAGTTCATTTGCAGGATCAGTCAATGAGTCGATGAATCTGATGAAGTGGCGATCAGCTGAGCGGCTAACGTGCCAAGGTTTTGGACGTGGCACTACAGCACAATGAATTCGGTGTCGTGGAGGACATGGTGTTGTCCTATATCAATCCATATCCAATCTTAAGTACTTTCTTTGAGGGGGGCATTTTTAAGGGAACTTTGGTTTCCTCCATGTCTGACTGAGAAAATCAGCAACTGGGCCGACCTTTGTCCAGGACTTGATGACAGTGCTGATGGGGGAGCACAAATCAGCTGTCGACTATGGCCATGCTTGGGATCAACTTGGCGAGAACGGAGAGGTCTTAGGACGAGCTCCTGGACTGCTACTTTCGTGTTGGATGTTGGAGACGGATGTATTGGATTATTCCTTCAAAATCTTTGACATCCTTTCAATTTGAACTGGAGTTGAGGTACAGTGATGTATGCATGTATATACAATACATATATATATATGATATGTATATATATACAATATGTATAGATAGAAAGATGATAGATATACTATACATGCATAGGCCCAGTGCATCTTTCCCTTTCGCAGGGCCAATCGCCACTTCCGAGTATGCAATAGTGTGATCACAGCATGCGCATATGCGCACCACACACATATATATATATTTATTTATCAATTATATCTAAATTCTATCAAAATTACCTATACTATACACACACATGCAGACAAGAAATGTAACCCATTAGAACCCGAACTAATCCGTTCACATTTTGCTCACCGGAGGCTCTCCTGGCCTCATCGCTTCCTGCGGAGCACCTGGCGCTGACGAGGACTGTGGTGAGTTTACTGCGCTTCCGAACGGCCACGTTGCCAGACTTCCTGGACACCGTGTGTTGGGGAACGCCAGGAGTCTCAGGAGAGCCATGATGATGATGATGATGATGATGATGATAGGTGAAATTTCGCTTGGGTTGGACATTCACTGTGCTTTTTTGGACGGATGTTCGATGCGATTTGTTACTTGGAAGTGCTTGCATGCTTGCCCTCCAAGGCCGCGGCACTTCGAGGTAACCAAATCCGGTGAGACATTGGAATCCTTGCCCTCCAGGGGACAATTGCAGGACATCAAGGGTTTGCATCCACGGAAGGGATTGGAGTCATGTTTCAAAACTTCATGGCGGATGATGAACTGGAAGTCCTGTAGCTGGAGTGGAAGCGACATAAACTGTTGATTCCATATGCACGATATGCTTTGGTGCTTTGTTCGGATTGTTCGATGGCATCAGGAGAATAAGATGAGGATTCGCTCCTACCGTGCAGCTGTGCACCGGCCAAAAGCACCAGAGTTTGAAGGTGCAAACTGCATGATGCATCGTATTTGGATCTGCGTAGGCATGGCCACTACTCGAGGAAACAAACATACTCACATATACTTACCTGATTTGAATATCTGAATATGAAATAATATGAACATTCTGGACATTAACGAGAAACAACAAGAAATTCAGACCTACTATGCGTATCTATGCATTCTCCTGGGAGGCCTGGTGCCTCATTTCGAGGACTGAGGGAGAGGTCCGGGGAAGTCCGGGGAGGGAGCTTCCGACTGCCCCGAGGACTCGAATCTTCCCGAACGACCGATCGAAATTCGCGTGTGGTACTTGCGGGGGGCTTTGGATGATGACATTGGCATGATCCGCGCACTGAAGGTACCTGGAACTCAGGGAACCGGCAGGGAACCGGGTGACTTTCAACTCAAGGGGAGCCATTTATCATTTAAATTTTAGCCATTTAAATGACATCCACAGTGCACATTTGTTGTTGCCTGACGGGGACGAACTTCACATCAGCAAGGTTTTGCTGCCAGCTTGCAAAAGGCTGAATTTGTTCCGCCTCAGGCTGCTGAGCAAGAAGAGATCATGCGGACCAAGTTTGTGCAGGTCTTGCTTGAGGAGCAGTGGAACAGATTGGGTCACAAGCATCTTGGGACAATTGAAGTGCTTCAGACATCTTCAGACTAGGACCTGTCGGACCTGTGAGATGAAAATCATGGAGCAACATGAAACAACCATTGCCAGCGTTGCTTTGCTGCCATGTTGATGGCGCTTAGGCAATTTCGACGAGAGTTGTGCGTATATCTCTTGTACTTGATCTCCTGGGGGGTTTGGTGTATGACTGGCCGCAGCAGCTGTCCACCACCCCCAACACTGGGAGAAGATTTGCGAAGCCCCGCAGGTGCTGCGGCTGTAGGGTGGGACGTTTCAAATTGATTGCGTCACTTCGATATTCCATAGTGGGGGACATTTTGAAACAACTGGGAGTGACACCCTCGTAAATCATGTAGCATCTATAGATAGACATACGAATTACTGTAATATCTCCGGGTCATGAGGGCACAACAGCTGATCCGATCTTTGAGGCTTTACTTTTCAGCTCTTGTGTGTTGCTTGGTCGCTACAGCTGGCAGTGGTTGATCAGGGCCCAGGAAAGGTTCAATACTTTAAAAAACTGGCTTCTGGTCAGAATTGCTGGCGGCTAACGGCTTGTCGTGAATTTCAGTATATAGGCAACGTGTTTCCTTCAAGTGGGAGGAACAATGAATTAAACTGAGGGAAAACCATCATGATGAATCTAGAATTCAAAGTGAGGGGCTAGCGCTCGTTCTGGGTCATCAGTCATTGCTTTATGGTCTTCCATAGCTGAGGTGGTGCTGATTATTTGCCAGATCTTTTTCTTGTACCAGGATTTTTGGGGACAAGCCCAGGTGGTGGGTTCTGTTGCAAGATTCCGGCGAGTGTGAAAGCATCAGCTGTGAGACATCACAACACTTATGTTCTGCACATGATGACCATGGGCTTGGACATCTTACTAGCCGTCGGTGTGTTTGCAAAAGCTGTTCATAATTTTTCATTTTTTTTCATCGATCTCCACCATGCGCCCCCAATGCCCTTGCAGAAATCAAACAGGTGGTACCATTCCAGCCTTAAGCTCTATGTACTGTATCATTAATATGTCATAATACGTCCATGATTGCCACTGGTTCTATAAAAGGACCTTGCCTGGAACATCATGCCATATTGCTACTCTTGAAAGCCTGGCTCTTTCTCATACAATTTTGTGATAGGACGGACGGAGTCACCACTCGTCTTTGTCCTTCCAGGGTATCATCACATTGCTTCTAGTTTGTGCATCCCCAACGGGGATTTGGTATCCGGAAGCAAGCGGAATTTGCACAGAATTTGAACATGGCAGCAGGAGCTGACGCAATTTTTCTTCGAGCTGCAGAGGCAGAGAGCGGAAGCTTTGACTGTTAGATATTTATCAAATTTTCTTTTCCTGGTAAGGACGGGCAGAAGTCACACCCAGTTCATGGATGCCAGAATATGCCAGAATGGTCAGAACTGTCACTTCCTCTTAGGAAGCTCAAACGAGATGGGCACGGCTCCGTGCCATCTGGAGCTATTCCACCACCTGGAACAATCTTGATATGGCGCGGATTGATCCTTTGCTGATCAGACTTTCTTGCTTCTTCCAGGATGGTGTGGCAGTGTGGAAAAGTGGCGTTCCATGATGGGTAGAACCGAGGCATTGGTCACCACCGCGGTGGTTCGCAGCTATGTTGATCGCACAGGCTGGCAGCCACGGCGGCCAGCAGAATGTGTTGGATGTTTGTTGAGCTCTGCTTTGCATGGCGAGCTTTGTGGCCAGATGATTTGGAAAGCAGCCATTTGGATTGGCTCACTCCAGCTTTCATCCGTTTGCGGCAATGGAATCATTTGTCATGAGAGGTTCAAAACCAGAGATTTCCAGAAGGTGTAGCTTGGGATGCTCAAATCAAGACCATATTTGCAGACAAGTGGGCCGCGCTCCAAACCGGGCTAGAACAACTGTTTGAAGTAGGTTTTACATGTTTCTATATACTATGTTTCTGTAATGAATACTGCCATAATTGACTGATCAGCCGATACAAGAACGGCAAGATATGCAGCAAAATGCAAGTGCCACGACATCGCGAGAATATGCCCATCAGCATACTATACCTCAGCAGGATGATAGTTGGCCGGGAATGAGCCATGTCGAAACGGCAAGTCTGTGGCGCAAAGACCCAGGTGAAACGATCCAGCGCAAGTGGAATGAAGTGATGCTGGCCTTTGAAAGCCCATTTTTCCAGTCGCGGAATAGCCAAAATATCTCATGGTTATACTCTCGCGCTCTTCCTATATTTCCATCGTTTTTTCTTAACTTGTTGTATTTTTTTCGCATTGTCAACCTAGAGCTTGATTGTTCATGCCTCTCAGCTGAGGATTGCATCTCAAACTTCTGCCCCAGTGTTGCTGAGACTTTGCGATTCCCATGCGGCAGAGCTCGGACCGGTACACCTGGTAACAGCCCTGCACCGTTTGGCCAAGTGCCCAGCGTGCCCAGCAGGCCCAGCATTTGACATTTGGGACCTGCGCTTTCAGAATCTGTGTGCAAGGTGGCAGCACTTTCTCCAAGACAGCTCTCCACGCTGGCTGTCCAATTCTATTTGGGCGCTTGCAGTTCTGGTTTGCAGAGATTAAGCGTTGCTACAGAATTGTTTGGAGAGAGCTTAGGAGATCACTGAGGAATTCTGCCCGCAAGGTCTGTCTAACAGCTTGTGAGGCCTTGCAGTGCTTCGGATGGACGCGTAGCCTTTGTCAGCCTTGGCATCGATGTCTTTGGCAAAGCTGCACCGTTTCAATTCGCAGAACATTTCCAACAGTGTCTAAAGCCCTGCTCGGATGACCGTCATCGACCTGCCCTTCATGCTGGCGGTGGCTCAAAATGCAGCAGAAGTGTTGTCTGACTGGCCCACGCAGGAGCTGGTGAACACAGCCTAGGCAGGATGCCTGCTCCAATCCTTAGGGTTTGAGCCCAATGGTATGCGAGTATGTAAAAGGATGTAAAAGGATGTACAAGGGATAAATATTTCCTCGGCTCCAGGCCTTTGGTGATGTCATTTCCGCTCAGGCACTCTCCAAGCTGTCTCTGTGGCACCAGGCATTCTGGAAAGCTTTCGGTGCTACAGTAGCGGACTCGCTCCATTCATTTTCACCTCAAGATCTTGCCACCGTGGCCTGGGACTGTGCTGCTGTAGTGCACAAGGGAGCCCCGTTGCTTCAGGTTCTTGTCCCGGCCTCCATGCAACGATGTCCATAATTTGAACCCAAGCACTTGGCTCTCACTGCTTGGGCTCTGGCAGTCATGGCATCAAAGGATCTCAGCCTCTTAGACATGCTTGCTCAAGTTGCAGTTATGAAGATCAGTCAGTTCGGCCACTCCGACGAGATGTCACTTGCACCATGTTAGGACCTGGCCATGATGCTTTGGGCATTTGCAACACTGGAGTTTCACCATGAGCCGGCTTTAGATGCCCTAGAAGCTGCTGCCGCAAGCAAAATTCAGCAGTTCAACCCACAGAACGTGGCAAACATCTCTTGAACTCTGGCAAGCTTGCGTGACCTCCACAAGCCTTTGCTGAGTGTCTCTTGCCCTTTGCTTTAAAAAACCGACCTCGTAGCCTAGTGGCCCGCTCTTTGTCCACAAATCAAATGATGTGGAAGAAGACTAAGAAGATCCAGCACGGGTAAAATATCACGAATAAGTGAGCATATTTAGTGGACAATGTGCACCAGCTATATGTACGTGAGTCAACTTCTACCCAACAAGAAGTGAGGATGCACCCATCCAATTAAGTAATGCTGTGGTGTTTGCTGTTGTGTTCCAGTACTTCTGCAGCGACAGAACTCCAAGGCCCTTGGGTTGCAAGCTATCAGCCTCATTGGTGAATTTGGACCTCAGGAAGTCGCAAACACTGCATAAGCCTTTGCCAAAGCTGTAGCACATGACCCGGCACTCTTTGCAGCACTGTCTGAAGCTGCATCTGCAAAGGCCTCCATGCTGAACCCACAAGAGTGTTCCAACATTGTCTGGGCCTATGCCAGCGTCATGATCTTCAGTGACCCAATGTTTGAGGAAATGGGCAAGGTTGCAGTCTCCATGATACACCAGTTTGACTCGCAGAATGTATCTAACAGCTTCTGGGCGTTTGCTTGTGTGATGTTGCATGATGCACCATTGCTGGCTGCATCATCAGGGAGAGCAATGCTGTTGATGCCAGAGTTTTCGATGCAAGAGCTGGCAAACGTAGCATGAACTTCTGCCACGCTCTCAGTCTGTGATCATCCAATTCATGACTTGTTGAGCGACCATGCGCTTCAGCTCCTGTCGCACGGTGCAGATTCTTCCCCGCACAACATGGGAGGGATGCGGCTCTTCTTGGTGAATGTTTGCGCGCTGGCTTGGTCATACACTTTGATGCAGCAGTCTGATCGCACATTGTTAAAGGTTGCTGAGCAAGTCTTGAGGAATTTGGGGTCATCCAAGTACGTGGTGGTCCCACGACAGGAACTTCGCCCTATTCCGATTAGTGAGGTGCAGCCTCGCCTTGTTTCCCTCATGAAGGGCATGTGCCTCGTTCTGAAGCCTGCAGGCTGGGAGGTTGACAGTGAAGGTCATTCGGGCTCCTCAGTCTGTGCTAGTGCCATAAAGTTTTAGCCTCTTGAACCGCTGCTTTTGGATGTTGCCAGTTCCTAAATGTTTCCTTTGGTTGTAAAGATTTCTGTTTTAAATGCATGGACACAATATAACTATAAATGTATGTATATATATATACATACATATAAATATAAATATATATGTATATATACATATGTATGTATATTATATATTTTAATATAAGTAATGTATGTATACATTGACTGCTTTTGACACGTCATAGTTTCTTCTGGTCTCCCTTTCAGTAGAGCCTGCACTTCAGAGGGCTGCATGGTTCAACCTCCCAGGCCTGCGGCGTTTATCTGACTTCTTGCGGAATCATCTTCCTTCTGATCGGACCATGATAGATGCGGTGGATTTCGGCCGTGGTTTCATTCATCGATTGGATACACCTAGCTCTGGGTTGATCTTGGCTGCAACCAGCTTACAGGGTTACTGCAGTGTCTGGGCCAAACTCGGATCGCTTCATCTATTTCCCAATGTTGATAGACATATATGTAACATATCATATATTCTATGCATGTAATTCATCGAACATAAATGGCTACAATGCCCAGGCTTGGAATGGCAGATGTATACCTATCAAATCGTCCGGGACTACGTGGTTCTCAGCCATGATGGTTTGCCAAGTGACTTGCAAGACGTCCAGCATCGCATCCTCGATACACACACCGTGATGGTCTCTGAGCGTGGACGTCCTGCCCAGCTGCTTGGTGCGGAACAGCAGGTGTTTCAAAGTACTCGGTGAGTCATTGTTGCGAGGTGTTTTTTTCCCCTCAGAATAGGACAGATGCTCACTTTGTTTCAGATCAATGATCTGTTGTTGTTGTTGTTCTTCTTCTTCTTTTGATTTCACTCAGAACATGGCCAAGGTCATTTTTTCGACTACTTGGCAGCTTTCGCTTGGAGAAACTGGCGTCACTAGTAGCGATCCGCATACGAACTGGGCGACGTCATCAGATCCGAGTGCACTTGCAGAGCTGTGGTTGCCCATCTGTGGCAGACCACAGGTATGGTATCACAGCGGTCTTTCTGAAAGTAGTAGATGTCCCACGAGTCAATTTGCCAACAAAAAGAGCTGCTTTGTGAAGGCACAGAGGTGTTGGTAGTCAATACACCGTAGAGGATGCAAGGCTTGAAGTGAAACGCTCCGCTCATAGGGTTCTTTTGCTCTGCTGCGTTAACAAAGCAGGTTGATGCAAACGTACGTAATCGTACGTATATTTTGACACCTGCTTCCCAAATCCTGCCATTGATGCAGGTCTCTTTGTTGAAACCGGGGACAACTTGCTGGAGGGCAGAAATTTGCTGGCCATCACGACTGTTTTTGTATGTTCCAGGCCATGGGGAATGACAAGTATCGGTCCAAACTTCGAACGAGGAAAAGTTTAGAAGTTTGGCATGCCACTTCTGTAGCTTTGCAAAACTCACCGTGGCATGGACCGCATGGAGGTTAAGAATGTTCCTGCTCTGCTGTGAGGCTTGTAAGCTTCCTCCGAGCTTGGTCCAGCACTGGCCCTTTGGTGAGGACAAGTGGATGCATGTACGCAGACGCATGTGACACACGCAGAAAGCATCCCAGCATCCCCAACGACTGGTTTGGAATTGGAGAACTCAGAGCTGAAATGAATGAGTATGGGGGCCATGGGGGCAGCTGGTCCATGCAGGACCCTCATCATAATCTTCTGGGACATGTCCAGTTTCTTTTGGGTGATGTTCGTGATGGTTCTGACCTTCGTATTCGCTTTCCTCTTGTGACTCGTCGCGTCATTTCCGCATCGAAAAGGCAGGCAAGGGATGTTGTGCTGGAATGGTTAAGAACTGCCACATTGATAAAAAGACTGAGCTAGGACCACTGATTCCCGGGGGTACCTGTGAACCGAATGTTGATCATGCAATTTCGACTAGTATCTTCGGTCCGAGTAGCAGTTTGTCAAGTGATACTGCTCCAAGGCTGTTTGATCAGCCCTTCTCCCTTGATGGCTTGGGTTCTACATTGTGGTATGTATACATGCATGGCATCTTTGGTGATGCGGATGATGCTCCAGAGGGGGCGGAATCTTGGCATGCATCGCTGCCACAACCAGTGACAGCTCCAATAACTGAAGTTGATGGCAATCGCTGTCCCTACAGCTTAGCTCAACTGCTATGAGGACAGTGCATCCCTGACTGCGCGCTTGCTCTTGGTCATTTGCGTCATTGTGATGCTGGTGGTTTCTTGGGCAATCACCAGAGTCCACCTGTTTTACCTGTTTTATGCAGTAGTGACTATTGGCTTCTATCAGTTTTTGGTCGCCACAGATTGGGCGCTGTTTGAAGATTTGGTTATTCACTTTGGAGCTTTCAGCACGTACGCCACAGTTCGATGAGCAATAAGTCTGAATATGTCAAGAGCGCATAGGCAGGTTCAGACTTGCAGAGCAGGTCGCCCACTGCTGTATTCACACGGTGGATATGCATTCACATATTCATCATAAGGGAGATATGCACAGCGCGTCACTGAGGTGATGATGAACTTCCTAATTGTAGCTTGGACTTGACTCGAAGTTCTTGATTATCTTAAATGTTCTTGTTCGCTCCGTGTGAGTCACACATGTTATACCAGCCAGACTGGGAATACAAGAGTTGCTCGCCATGTCATCCAAGGCCATCATGAGTGACAGCTATGACAAGGCCGATTCGCTAGCACTAGCTGCCAACAGTCTAACTAGAATACTCTTGACAAACCAGACGTTGTTATTGAAATCTTTGGTCCAATTTGCAATCACACAGGAGGTGGTAGGAAAGCTGCTTTGAGGATTTGTGGAGTTACATTCCCAACACCAAACATGGAGATATCTGAGAGAATGCCATGTGTGGAGGTCCAAGAAAACGCAGAAGTTGCTACAAACGTGATGCGCTTGGAGCTGGTATATGAGGCAAAGAGTCTCGGTGGACCATATTTAGCAAACCTTGGGTGTACCGGGTTGAAATGGTAATGGTAGCGTGTACACTTGTGTGCGCTTTCTTTGTACATGTTGCAGGCGGAAGTGACAAAGAAAACCGGGGCGAAGCGACGCAAGGCATGTTCTCGGAAGTTTCTGAAGCTATATTTTTGGACAACGCTAAAGTTCTGATTCGAAACCCTTCGGAAAGCCTCAGCTTTTCTCCTTTCCCAGCCATTCCCAGCCATTCCCAGCCATTCCCAGCCATTCCCAGCCTATTCCCAGCCTATTCCCAGCCTATTCCCTCGACTTTGCCACGGCGTGGCGCTGCGTTGAGGCCTACGTCTTCACGTGTCAAGGGGTGCGCTATGCTGGTGGAGGCCACCAAGCCACCCAGCAGGAGAACTCTCGATGGGAAGGCCGTGTGAGGCAGGTGGAGCCCCTTGGCGCTAGGCCGTGTGACGAAGTCTTCATGAGAGAATATGATATATACACATTATATACATAGTATTACATAACACATAATGATACAAACACACATACATAATACAATATAATAATATAATAATAATAATACTAATTATATATATATATATATAATATAAATCTTTAATGTAATAATAATTTAACATATGTATATACAATATAGTTTGTTTTTTGCTGGTAGGGATTATAGATCTTTTGATGTAACTCTTGAGAAGTTTTGATCATTTCCATCGCTCTCCACATCGACCTGGTGCCATGTTGATTGGTGCGTAGTCACTGGCATGGTGGTTGTCGTGGTAAGGAAAGCAGTGCGCCGGGAAAGCAGACAAACCTGCATGGCGCTTGCGGAACAGGCAACCTGGGCTGGGCTGAGCAACATGTTAGGTTTGCCAGTCGGATCAATCTTACCATCATGTCAAAAAGGGCCGAACTGCAACAATGTGGGAACCGGTAAACCGATAAGCTCAGGCAGAAACCAATTTGTGTTTACCACCTCAACAACAAGTCCATTTTTTTGGCGTTGGGTTACCACAGTAATCTCAATTGATAACCATCACCACCTTCCCTGTTGCCAGGGTGGGCAGCTATCTGCCATCGAAGATCGAATTCATTCGCTGGAGCCGGTGGCCCTGGCAACCCGAACTGGGTGCTGTTGACCTGTTGTATGCCGATTTAGCAAGATGATCCCCAAGAAATATGCCAACGTTCCTCAGGTGTCATGTAAATCAAAGTCATGGACGTCTCCAAGAAACGATGGCCACTTGGAAGCAAACATGACGACAGCCGCATTTTGGCAGATTTGTGATCAGTTTGGAGCTGCGTGGAGTTCATGGGCGTGGGGCTTCAAGACCATCCCTGGAGGATGGTCGATGGTCACAAAAAATGTCTTGGTCTCCGATGTATCCGGCAGGAGCGTTTGATCGATCAGCTAAAGCAAATGGAGACCAACTCGCAGGACCGCGCAGGTGGGCCTTGGTGGGCCATGGTGATCCATGGTGAAGGTGAAAATGGTGAAAGGGGAAACCATGGGAAACCATTGGACCGGCAGAGCTAAGATCTTGGAAGCCCAGACTCTGGTGCCTTGCAAGGCTCAGCGCAGACGACCCCACGGCAGAAGCATGGGGTGCGCACTGGGGAATCAGAGTAGTGGGCTCTTGATACCTGTTGGAAAACTGCTTCTACATGCTACTGTGTATGGGTCAGTAGATTTCTCACTGCCTGTTGGTGACTTTAAATGTGTGCTTTTTTTTTTTCCCTTCATTAGTTCATTTTTTCCATCCCCGCAGTCGAACCGAGCTGTGAGGCCATCGCACCACTCCCTCGGAACGTGCAGGGTCAGAAGCAGGCAGTGCCGTCACAAAATGGCGGCATCAGAAATCATCAGACATCGATATTGCAGGTGGAGGCTGCATACTCACTTCATGCCTATTATTAACTTAGAAAATTGGGAGAGCTGAGTTGAGATTTCATGTGACATATTTATACAATACATATATATTTCATATTTCCTGACCGGCTGCTGCAGATGAAAACACAGGTAATTACAGTATACATTTTATACACTACAGTTGTTTCATGTTGTTTCTCCAATGTGGCCTTTGGCCTGCAGCGCAGGAGGGGATGCGGACTGGAGGTGTGTCCTGACAGTCTCCTTTAGCAGTGTGACAAGAGGACCAGGGTTGTTTTTTTCATGAAAGGAATGGCTAAGGCAGACAGGTTCTCCCAGGCAATATGTTATAATATATATATATACATATGTGTGTGTATATACCTACACATATTTTCGTACTTTCTGATTCAATTCGGTTGTTTCAGGTGCCACGCCATTTCGAAGTTTTTTTTGTTAACGACTTGTGCACCATCAGTGGCAAGAAAGGGCGGCCAAGCCGCCCAGGCCGACCAAAGTGTCGGCGAGGTGGGATCAGCTAGGGCTCTTGCTGCAAAATGGGTCTGCTAAAATAGGTCCTGTTTCCAAGGACTGTGGACCTGGTGGCAACTGCACTGATCCTGCCCAACGGACCCTAGAAGCCAAATGAATCAAAAAAGTCTTCAGATCTTAGGGTGCCGGGGCATGAGTTGCAACAGGCGTGCTTCAGAACCTTGGTCTCAGGGCGATGAACGTCGACAAACCTTCGCCTCAGGGTGTTCCCCTAAGGCTTTGGATTCGGCAGATCGCGGTCCACCGGGTGCCATCATGGCCTGGGCCGAGGTCAGTGAAGGGTTGAGACACGGGAATGACATGGAATGACCGATGGCAGATTGCTGAAGATTCATGGTTTGGGTGGACCAAGTGAATAAAGTGAATATGTGTATTACTGGTCACTCATGTGATGGTACTTGCAGAGTGTCACAAAGGTTTCTGAAACGATTCAGGCTTTCCCGTTGCAACGCAGGATGAGCCACCCGCTCCTCCACCGCCGCCGGTGCATGGCCTCAGCACCCTTTGGTCGTTCCATTGTTCAATGGCACCTACCGGTCGTTGGAAAGGAGCCACATTCTGAAGTCCTCTGCAATACCTACAAGACCTGCCATCCTTCCGGCTCACTTGAAATTCAGTGCAGCTGTTGGCCTGTGTGATGGGCGAGGTAAGTGCTCCCACTACCAGCCTTTCACAGAGCATGCAGGGGTTGCCTAGTATGGAGGTTGAGTCTGATGTTGGTGGAATCTTGGATGAAAAAATGCATGGGTGCACAATGGGATCGCAGTCTGAACGCGATGAAATGCGATGAAGAAAGAGAGAGAGAGAGAGAATGGGATTACAGCTAGGAGCAGTGAGTCATTGGATGTTCCGTTGGCAGTGACGTAGGTACTCCCAAATACTGCGACACAATGTGAAAAATGCAGCCTTGCAATTGGCTGCTACCAAGCATGACATCAGCAAGGCGAACCTTAACCCCAAGCTGTACTTTGGCTTTTGTAGCGTCACGAAGTGGGCTTAGGCTACAAGTCTTACAGTACTGTTTAGCAGATGCCAACCTTGACTAAGGCCAATTGCGCCTACTAGTTGCAAATGGCTCAGATTGCATCAATGATGAATCAGACAGAGGCCCATGTGGAGAAATGTTGCCGCAGAAGTATCATTCTTGACGTCACAATGCGCCAGGGGCGCACAGTCAGTTGTCACATGTTTGTGGATGTTTGCAGCAAAATTTAGCCTTGAACCTTGAACCTTTACCAAGTGGTGCCTCTTTTCTCGTCTCTCCAAGGTAGTGCGGGCTATCTTCCCCCGCAAAGCCTCAGTGCGGAGCCCATGGACCGCTTTCTGGAAATGTACCGGAGCTGAGCGGAGCTCAGGCAGCTTGCGTGACGGACCTGCCCGAGATCGCGACGTTTGGGCCTTGGTGGCGAGATGTGTTTTGGCCTTGGTCGCAATGCGGTTTCTGCATGTTTCTGCATCAGACGGACAGAGTAATTATATGTAATTATGATATGATAGTGTCTGATAGTGATGTTCATTGCTGTTGATTCTGTGCTACGATGTGATGTGCTTATGCATGCGAAAAAAACATGTGAAAAAATATGTTGACGTAGTGGAATGGACGGGCAACATACGGTCCACCCAGGTGGTGAAGGAAGTGATCGTTTGAAATGATGGGATTCGTAGGACTTATCTGTTTGCCTTTGTGACTCAGATGGGACCTCGAATGGCATTCACGCAGGCCAGGAGACAAGATGGGAAAGAAATCGGCTTCAAAATTGTGAGCGACATGGTTGGCTGGTTGCTTCTTTCATCTCCTCCCAAGTTACGTCTGTGAACACATGGCCCTGTGGAGCTGTTTGAGTGCCACGATGGTGAGATATCCTCATCAATGGCCCGGCATGAACGGAAGCATGCAAGTTTACAAAAAATAACATAACTTTTCCCCAATCCGATGGTCACTTAACTAATGCCGTTTGTTTGGTATCCCCCGAGCATGGCAAACCGACTGGCTTCCCAGGGCATGTCGAATACTTGGGCTCCAGCTGCTCAGGCTGGAAACTGTCAAGCGGCTGATGGCATACTTCCAACACTTCCAACACGTTTGATCTTTAAATTTATCAATGAAGTCAATGGCTAGTATCCCTAAATTATATCTAAATTATATCTTATCTTATCCCGACTTATCCCATTCAGCCAACTCAACCTGAAGTGTTAAGAGCGGTTTTGTTCTTGGGATATTTGCAGTACATGTCGATGTATAGGCTGATCGGGATGGCCGGTGCATCCAGGCCCAGATGCCGAGAGGTCCAACGAACCACAGGGACTCCCTGACAGGCAGGGCTTGTGGCCGGGTCTGCCTCCAATCCCTGATTTTTGCTCGTTATGTCTCCGTTTTCCATTTTAAATCTTCCCAGTAATGATAGTTCTTATGAGGACGCCATGTATATGTATGTCTATATCTATATGTATCTACATGTGCATGTATATCTAAAAGTAAATATCCATATCATATCAGTGTAGCTGTAGCAGGTTTGGACTTGATCTTTGGGGCTGTTTTGGGCAATGTCGAAGATATCAGCAGTTTGATTGGATTCAACACTTCGTTGCAACACTTCTGTCATCTTGTTTCCTTTATCATGTATGTGCATTGCTTCCAACAATGCCTCGAACTCTTCTCCCCGCAACAGTCTTCTCATCAACTTCTTTTAATGCTTCGTTTTTCTTTACTGCGCTGTTCCTGTAGTGCTGACGGCTGCCTTCACTGTTACTTTTGTCACATCCCTCATTCAACCAACCCTTCCAACACTTCTTTTTTTCAATTGCATGTCTTTCAATATGACTTTTATGACTTAGATTTTAGTTCTCTCTTCTCCTAGCAGTTTGTAGCATGTTTTGTTCATCTCTCTTTCCTGTATCTACTTCTCTGCTGCGTGGCATGCCTAGCTCCGAAAAACATCGAAAAACACTTCTGTCACCGCTCTTCTTTCAACACATCTCGTAATTTATTTCTCCAAGACTGCGTCGCATTGTTGCAGTTTTTTTTGAATTGGCATAAATTCTGCAAATAGAGTCTGCCATCATCTTTCTGAAAGATTTGTGTGTCATGAGGCACTTGCTACGTTTCTTGTGGCACCCGTTCAGCATATTCTAGACCCGCCTTCAAGCTAGTCCTGGACAGCACAGCTCACACCGTTGTTGTTTCAATCGATATTTTTTGCGCTGTATATAATATGTCTCCAACTCCACTTGAAGGCCTGGATTAGGTTCACCCAGCGGTTGCGGTGGACGCAATTCCTGGGCTTCATACCGTACAGGTGGGATTCCGCCACGTATAAGCTCGAATCCGATTTCTGCCAGCATTTTTTGTAACTTCTATTCTGCGTGCATGGGGCCGTAGAAAGAAAAAGCATGACCAATGCGCGAAAATGTCTGACCATGACTAATTTCATTGCAGGGTAGGGGAAAAAATGCGCGAAAATATGCGAAAATACCCAACTATGTTCTCTGTCCGAAAGCTAGCGGTAGCTGGCTGGAGTTACTCTTGCTTCAGCAAGAGCAAGGGGAGGGCAGGTCTAAGTCCAACATAGTGATTTTTCACTCGAAACCCCCCAAGCTTCCGGGGCATTTTGAAGCGGTATTGGAAGCAGATGGCTCAAATCCTGCCTTAGCTTTCGTTCACCCCCCTTGTGCCTCAAGTCGATGTAGCGGGCCCTGCCTAATACAAGGCATTTTCGCACCTAGGGGCTGGGCCCCTTCGTGCTACGCTTAGGCTGGCGCTTTTGCCGTTTTTCCTTTCCTGGTCAGCAAAAGGTGATCCCTCATGTTCTAAGCAGCGCTAGCAGAAACTTGACATCCCATCCCTGCCCATCGGCCATTCAAATAGGGAGAGGATAGCCGGCTCAGACAGCAGCACCGCACCTCCTCATCCTTCTCATCCTGCTCATCCTCCTCATCCTCCTCGTCCTTGTCATTATCCTCCCCATCCCCCTCCTCACTTTCATCCTCACTCTCATCCTCATGTTCATCCTCATATCCATCCTCATGTTCATCCTCGTGTTCATCATCACCACCACCACCATCATCCTGATCCTCCCCAGCTAAACATACTAAGACGGCCATGTTTTGCAAAGATGCAAGCACTGGCATTATGTTTTTCATTTTTCTGCCAAAGAGAGGCGCATAAGGCAGCAGTGGATGATTCTAAGCTGTGTAAGGATTTGTTCTTTGCAACACCCTTCGGGGAAGACCAGCCATCGCATACGTTGCCGAGACATCCCTCCTTTTTTTTTGATACTACAATTTATGAATTTATGTGAACATTTTACGTGCCCGTATTTTTCCAGGATTGAAACTTGCATGTCAAACTCCCTGATCCAGCAGAACTTACCTTTCGTCCACCCCAGTCCTTTCAAGTTTGGAGGATCAGCAAACGTTACCAAAGATGCCACACATGATTTCCTTTTCTCATTTTTCTCTCTTTCTCTTTCTCTTCTCCCTTCACCTCGTCGGCACTAGCGTTTGACAGCCGTACTCCAACCAGTTTTGAGATGTTTTGAGGTGTCTCAGTTGGCGTCGCCATTTCCCAATGACCTTTCTATCCTTGTTCCGCTTGTTCCGCTTGAGGCCCACCGAGCCGGCGCCAGAATGAGTATGGCCCGGGAGCTTGTCATTTTGGCTTGTCCTCTTGCCTTGGAGTGATCCCACCGGGTAGAGCGGCAAAATTTAAAATGGTATGCAACGAGCTGCTGAGGTAGTCGGCCTGGATCACGCGAGTCCGGCCCTTGGAATCTCGCCTAGAATCCTCCAAGTCATGGCAAGAGCTTAAGACTGAAATGCTTTAGACACTTTAGACCGACCTGTCTATGCATTAGATTTTCAAACAAATCACATGGATTGTACTTGATGGCACTCATTTCAAGTGATCTCCCAACCCAACTTCGATATCGTGCCTCAGGCCTTCACCCAAGACGTCCCCTGCGGACCGCTACCCGCCACCGTCTCAGATGAGGGAAGCCATCGTCAGAACTCATAGCATCCTATAGACTCCATAGACATTTTCAAGGTGCAGTTGTCAGCTCAAAGTTTTCACTGCAAATCTATGCAAATCTCATGTCTTGTTTCAATAACCCGCCCCCTGGCCACTTCCCCGCTGTGGCGCAGCTTTTCCTGATGTGCAACTTCCAAAGAGATGAATCGGAAGCTGTTGGCCTCTAAGGCAAAGAGGCGAGTCACCACAAAGAGGTGTTGGGGCCTTAAGTTCGAAGCACTTTTCAAATCAATTCTGGCTGCTGATGTCCAAGTCCAGTTGTAGACCTGCATGGTTCTCATCACCATGGACCCTGCATGTGTTTGAGGAGTCACCCATGCGGTTACCGAATCGCTCGGGGCGAACGGGCAGTAGGGGATCTTGGACTGGGAGGGGCTTCTGTCGAGGTGGGTCGTGACACGTATGGTAGCAGGGAGGATGGATGTCGCACTGATGGCAACACATTTGCCATCCGAGGTCATGTCTTGAAGTTGCATCATTCGTGTTGGGAAGCATTTTGACACGGTATGAGACGCTGTCGGGCCGCAGGGCCGTAGGGCATCCTCTTTCTGTCTCACTCTTCCGTCGCCGCCCTTACTCAAGCATTCAGCAACAGAACAAGGTAGGACCAATAGGAAATCTCTTCGCTTTCGGTGACTCGCATTGCCCCCTGGCCTCACCCCGAAGTGTGTCACGGAAGAAAGTGTTTGTGTGGGATGGTTAGATATGGCTAGAAGAACAATTAGATTAGATGATATTAGATGATATTAGATGTACAAAATTGTGCCAGCATCTCCCTGCAACTGAAGTTTCTGCTTCAAAATTTGTCTCCATGGCATCACCGAGGAGCCAATGACCGCCGTCTATGAGCCAAAGAACATCCTTATCACAGGCGGCGCAGGTTTCATTGCCAGCCATGTGGCAGAGCATTTGTTCTTCAAGTACCCCAAGTACAAGAGACTTGGCATCAAGGGAATGGATCAAGATTTAAGGTCCAGGGACTCCAGAGTCAGTTCGGTTTTTAGTATTACCATGTATTAACCATCCAATTTTGGAGATGCCAATATTTTTGACCCAGACCCAATATATTCCAATATTATACGGGTATAGTTCGCGTTGAATTTTATCATGTCATAGCCGTCATAGCCATCCAGCGATGCATCCCTTTTCTCTCGACTCCAAGGATTGTGATTTTGGACCGTTTGGACTACTGCGCCAACACCAAGAACTTTGATTCGATGGCGGGGAAGCTAGGTCGCGCAAAAAAAATCGATTGCAGATCCAGCAGTTTGTTCCGACTTGATGTTGACCATTCTGTTTTCAAGGAAGCCGAACTTCAAGTTCGTGAAGGGTGACATCAAAAGCCCAGACCTTCTGCACTACGTGATCAAGCAAGAGGACGCGGGGATTGTGACCGCAAATGGCATTTAGAAGTGCTGTGCTCCTATGTGCTCTTATGTGCTATGTGCTCCTAGATGTAAGGACATGATGTATAGACTGTATAGATATGTGTAGATATGTAATAGGTGAGTTGCTGACGAGGAAATTGACACCGTGATGCACTTTGCGGCGCAGACGCACGTGGATCTGTCCTTTGGGAACTCGGTGACCTTTACGGATGACAACGTGTTGGGCACCCACCGAACCTAGGCGACAGGAAGATTTGCTTCACAGATCGGGAGATCATTGGAATATGGGGTAGATATATGTGGATATCATATATATATATATAAATATAAATAAATATATATATATATATTATATCGGGTTCCTATGGGTTCCTACGGGTTCCTGAATTATCCTCAATTCAGCAGTAGAGCCTCAGAGGTGTCAGAGGATGGCCAACTTGCCACACCGCAACGTTGCAACGTTGTGCTGCAACTCCAAGGAATCCTGGAGGTTCTTAAGGAGAACAAGGGCCAAGTGTTGCGCTACATCCATGTTAGCACAGATGAGGCGAGGGTTGGAGCGATGCAATTTAAACATCAGACAAGTTGTTATAAGTTGTTGGAACTATATAATATAGACTCAATATGATATAACTATTATATAACTATTATATAATTATATAACTATTATATATCAGTTGTTGGAACTATAGACTTAATATGATATGTTGGTGCTTAATGAACTCCGACTTGGTCAGGTCTACGGCGAAAATGCCTCCTACAGTGACGAGAATGACATGAAGGCCAATTTTTGCACGAAAAAAAAAAGTCGCGTACGGATCTTGCGAAGTCCATTGTGGATCCATTGTGTATCCATTGTGTCAATTGCGTCATGAAAAAAACACCGATGAAATTTGCTCGTTCAGCTGGAAGCGACATCGCCTTGGGCCAGGTGGAAGCGACATCGCCCTTGGATCCAACAAATCCTTATGCTGCCTCCAAAGCTGCAGCTGAGATGATGGCAATTCGGCAAACACCAGGGCTAGGTGCGGGGGGGTGACCTCTAGAGTGGTATGCACTACAAGTGACGATAAGAATGTATAAGATACTATAAGACATTATATGTATATATATATAATATGCCATAGCCATGCAAGTACAAGACAATTTGAGGATTTATCCAACATCTTGTGATCCCATTGGATCCCCACATATCCCTACAATCACTAAATGTATGTATGATTCAGCTGGAGGCTCCCCAGCTTGGCACGCAAATCCGCATATTCCTTGCCAAATTCTTGGCAGATCTCTTGGGGTTGAGGTGAAGTCCTATCATCGGTCCTATGGTCTTCCTGTGCTGGTGACACGTTGGGAGCCAAGCACCTGCAATTGCCGTACCAACCTTTTCTCAATGTGGTGGCATGCAACGCCAGCCAAGAGGGGATGCAAATGTCAATATGGTCAACACGCAGGTGGAAACAACGTCTATGGCCCCCGCCAGTATCCAGAGAAGCTGATCCCAAAGATGATTATGATGCTGAAGAGGACATAGCCGTAGCATGCCGTAGCATGCCGTAGCATGCCGTAGCCAGTCGAATACGTCGAATGGTTGTAAGCCCGAAGACCGGGAAGATTTGGTGTTGCACCTTGGCCAGGAACAAGAAGCTCACGGTTCATGGTGATGGGGCAAGCAAGCGTTCCTACTTGCACGTGAAGGCTGGTCTAATGGAGGGGTGCGCCACGTACCTTTGCAGGTTCCATAGACTGGACATGACTGGATGTATCAGACTACCAGACTATCATCAGACAGTCAGATTCAGATTCTTCTGTGTCCCGCATCGGGACACTTGTGCAGCCTTGGGGCCCATTTTGCTACATGTCTAGTTCTGTCCGTATGTCTGAACGGAGTTCGTGGCCAGGATGTTGCTGCAGCCTTCGACATTGTGCTGCACAAAGGTGTCACAGGCCAAAGTCTGAAGGGTTTGAGGTAGGCGTGTATCATGGTCACTGTGTCGCTATTTTCTCATTGGATGATGACCAAAGAAAGTAGTCACACCCATATAGTCTAGTGACCAGTCAGTCAGTCAGTTGTCAAGTAGGATCATCAAATGTATTTGAACATCAGCAGTTGTTAAGAAGTTGCTTGCTCCCTCTGCGAGGCAGCACGTACAACATTGGCACAGCTGAAGAGCACTCTGTCATCGAAATTGTACCTCTGCGGAATGAGTGTAGCATCAGCTCTTTGCATAATAGATCTGTGGCCGATATGCAAAACATATGAAATAAGAAGTAATCCAGGCACATGATGGCAAGCCTAATCCATAGCTACTTTATCCAAATCTTTGCAGTCGAAGGGTTGCCTAAAGAATCAAGATATGAATGAGCAACAGTGGAGGTCCATGTCATGTGGAGTGAGCAGTCAAATGAGCAAGGCTAGACACTTTGAGACACTTTGAGCTTCTGGAAGGGTTGCTCTTTTACGGACTCCCTTCCAAGTTGTGTGTTCCGGGGTTATCGGGACAACAACGCCCGAACCATCAGGTGAAGAATATCATCAAACTCATGAAGCCCGATGTGGAACCTGACAAGATGATCGAGTATGTGCGCAATCGGCGTCTTGACTTATCTATCATTTGGCAATTTATCCATACTTAATTATATATCATTATTTATCCGATGAAGGTGATCTTGACAGGCCATTCAACGACATGCGCTATTTCCTGGACCTGCGCCAATTGGAAACTCTTGGTTGGAAGGAGCGCTGGATAGCGCTGGTACTGTCTGGCAGGGTTTGCTCCCTCCAACTGAAAACTCAAAGCGGACCAACACCGACTCTGCATCATTTCTGATCATCAAACTCTGTATCTAAAGAACGTCAGGAGACCATCAAATTCGACGAAGGCCTCAAGCAGACCGTGGACTGGTTCAGCGTCTTGGCTCCAGGCTCTAAGTTTCAGGCGAAGCATTGCCATGGATCTCTATGGATCTCTATGGCATACTCTATTGGTGCAGATATGAATAAATTCAATAAATGTCCCTCCGAGTCTGGAGTGAGGTGTTCACGGCGCGGCATTTTGGGACACCTGCGATTTGGACACTGTCTTGGTGGCGCATCCTGTCCCCATCATGATGCCGGACACGCCAATGCACGTTGATTCACAGGTGCGCCGCAGGAGTCTTTGGATTTTGGGTCTCTGCAGTCTCGAAACAAGACTGACCCGTCTGGTGTGCAGTGACTATCTTCTTGGAACCTTCAAACTCCTGACCACTGGCACATGCAGGCAGCACTGCCTCCTCCACCTGCCAAGAAGGCATACCAATGCTTCAAACACTTGGGTTCGGGTGGTCGCAGTGGCTTATACGCTGTCCCTTGTGTCTCTGGTGTTGCATCAAAATCATCATAGGCGGCATCTGCTTTCAGGCAAAGAAGGTGAAGTTCCTGGTCTTCGGCAAGCTGGGGCCTCATTGGTCCAGCCGAGGGTTTTTGCTTGGGGCCCACCCGCCACGCGCGCTCACAGTATGTGTCCATGTGGCAAGCATGCACGTAGATTATAACTGAAGCGCGTGACCTTGAAAGCAGCTAGATGCAACGCCTAGGACTGGGTGGATTGGCGGAATGATTGGCAATCTCTTGACACAGAAGGGCTTTTCTTGGGAGATTCTCGGATCAGCACTGGGAAGATAGAAGCAGACGGCAAAGCTTTGCACATTAACGATTCCACGATGATTTCTTTTGCGGTGGACTTAGGCAGACCCTGGGGGTTTCTGGACAGGGCACCTTAGGCACCTTAGGCACCTCTAGCCCTTGGTCCTGTGACACCAAGGTGGGCAAATTCCCGTCTCCAGGATCGCGAGTCTGTTGAGAGAGAGCTCTTGCACAGTGGCTGCACACATGTGAGCCTCAGCGTTTTAGCAGTTGGCTGATGCTACGGTGGTTGGAGTCCAGACCCCTTCTTGACCCAATTCAGCCTGGAACACCCAAGGATGAATGCCGCCGGGCTCACTGGTCGACCAAATGTGGACTGGTGTGAAACACATCGCCAGGAGTCAGTTTGACCAATGGGAAACTGCAAGCCGGTGGGCATGTGAGCAAAAAAACTGAACACCTCTTGATGAGTCTGAACTTCTAAGATGATTATGATTAGGATCATTTATATAATTGCATTTGAAGTGACCCGAGACCATATGGGAGCTGTCCTTCCAAGCAACACTCATGCATTTCCCACCTCTTGTCACTGGGCGCCAATCACTGGCAGCTACGGGTTGGTTTCTACTGCCGTGCATCAGGAGACCATCCGCGTCAATGTGATTGGCACGTTGACCCTGGCAGATTTGTGTGCTACCCATGGTATTCACATGACCAACTTCGCTACAGGAGCCCTGAAGCTTTGCAGATCATGAGCCATAGGATTCATAGTGATTCATAGAATTCATAGCATTCACATGTTCGAAGGACAGTATGTGGTCCTTGCATGTCTTTGCCATGCTGCACCGCATGCGACTGGGGATCTTGCACGATTTTGCTCCAGGATGCATCTTCCACTATGACAAGAACAAGCCGGAGAAGGTGGAACGTGACCCAAATTTGGTGGCAAAAGAGGCTGGCAAGACATTCAGCCACTCGTCGCACTCGTCGCAGTCGCCACACTCTTGGGATCAGCTGACAGGAATGGATCGATCGACTGTGATCGACTTGCCATTTGCAAATTATGCACCAAGAGTTTTCACATTTGTCAAATTTAGTCAATCCATGTCAATCCCAAGATCAACATAGATCAACGGTGATTGGAACAGAATCTGAGGTGAGGAGGATCGCCCCAACTTCACTGGCTCCTTCTACTCTGAGACCAAGGCGTGGATGCCTCATAGAATGCCTACGTGTGACAGGGCCACAGATGGATGTACCTTGATTTGTGCGTAAGTGTAGGTATGCAGGCACATTGAATCATATTGATACATAACAGACACAGATGTAGATATAAATGCAGACATACATACGTACGTAACTACGTGCGTACACGTACAGTGTATGTACATCTACGCAGTACACATGTACAGACACATAACACAATCATGCATACATACATGACACACACACACACAAACACACAAACATACACATACGCATAGACTTAGACATACACATACGTCCTATACATATGCACATGCATATGCAAATTCATATGGTGTGTCTATTTCTGTACATATGTACGTACATTCACATCCGACCGCAGTTTTGTGTGCCACACTCTGGCATGTGGCAATCGGGGAATAGATGTGTGTATGAATGTGTTGATTGGAGGGTGTCTGCAGGGTTCAAGCTGGCCAGGGCTATGTCGAGAACATGCTGAGGGAATTCGATCACGTTTTGACTTTGCGCGTCCGCATGCCCATTGATGGAGATGTTCTCTGCAATAAGAGGAACTTCATCTACAAGATCGCGCATTACAACAAGGCGATATGGGCGATATGGGCTTCATGCACAGCAAACTTTATATTCCTTCCAATCCTCTCAGCATGGTGTAGCTCCAAATCTTGGGTGGGAGGGAGAGTTGTCCCAATTTTCGAAACATACCCTCTGGTAAACTAACAGTTTGCTATTGAAAATGGCCCAGTCGAAATAGTGGATTTCCCCATGAAAATCGCATGGTGATTTTCCATAGTGTTTTGTTAACGTTTACCAGGGGGTATATTCGTGCAGCTCGTTTCCCAGGTGGTGAACATCCCCAACAGCATGACCGTGCTGCCGGAGTTGCTGCCCTATGCTGTGGAGATGGCCCTGCGCCGTTTGGCACCGCGGTGAAGAAAATTTCTTTAAGTATCTGTTGCTATGGGCCAGTCAGCCAACCCAAAACTGGAACATCCCATCACAAGAGATATTGGGATGGATCACAATGTATGTATTGTACCATATTTTAGTGGCTGAAGATGGCTGATATGCTGACTGACACATTAGTTCTGGGCATTGGGCCAATGGCTCGCCTGTAGCCCTTGGCTAAACTCTCGGAGATGGTGATGGAGAGAGAGAGAGATATAATATATATATATATTATTTTAGAGGATTCAAATCTTATCCATTTACCAGCTTTTTCGGTGTTCACCAGGGTTTCACCCACTTCACTTAGACTGTAGAATCTGTATCAACTCTTTATCCTGTGATGCCACGTCAATTTCATCACAAAAGGTTTTGGTAGTGTCCTTTTACTTCATCAATAGGCGCCAATGTTACTGCGCCAGCCGGATTCTGAAGATGTTGCACCCCAAAGACGCATCTGAGACTGGCATCTACAACTTCTGCAATCCTGGTGCCATCAGCCACAACCAAGTCTTGGAGCTTTACAGGGACCGTTTCCACCGTCGTTTCCCATTGTGCCAAAGTTGTGTGGCAGGGGGAAAGGCATATATGTCTCCAGCACAAGGCAATGTGAAGTAAGGTCCTGATGAAAAAAAACATACATTGACATAGCCACATCAACATTCATCAACCATTTGGAATATTTTGGAGGTTGTTTTCGGGAATTTTGGGCGATGCAATGGTGCTTGAAGGACTACATCGATCCAGACTTCAAGTGGGGCAACTTCACCATCGAAGAACAGGCTAAGGTCATCACTGCTGCGCGCTCCAACAACGAGCTGAGCCCCCACAAGATGTGGAAGGACGTTTCAGCCCTCGATGGGTAAAGGGTCCCAATATGTCCCAATTGAATCCAATTGAACGATAATTTCCCGACAAGAGACTACGAGACCATGTGAATCCATTTGAAGGAATTCCAGGGATAGTTTTCCTGTGTTTGGAAGTAGTGGACGTGGTCGAGGTTAGAATTCGAAGAGCTTCAGGGTGAGAAAGAACATCTGCAGGGATATCGGAAATGCGACGAATTGCTCCGCAGTTTTTGACTGAGGAGGGCTATTGCATGCTATTGCTTTTCTAGGAAAGGTGGAAGGTCGAAGTGAGTTTATGGGTAAGGTGCGATCTCGGCTTCTCAAGTTTACATTGCAGCCGTGGATGCAGGAGTTCCCCAACATGTTGCCGATCAGGGCACCTTAGCAGCAGATATCCTTTTTGGATGGTACGGCTGACATGAGATGAGAACACAACTCAGATGTTGACAACATTTGAGCATCTTTACTGGAACATGTCGTTTAAACCAAGTCATTGCCGAGTCGCATTGGGATTTTCCCTTCAAATCCATGACTTGGCAGAACTCGCTGATTGAGTACGTCTTCAAGCCACTTCAGACTGAGAAGTCCAAAGCGGCCATGGCGAAGAAATGAGGCTCGGGAACCATGGAAGATCATGTCCTTTTCATGGAAAACATGTTCGTTTGTGGCAATGGGCAAATGGGGGAGCTTGTTGCGTCAGAGGAGGTTGTGCTGGTAGATTCTGGTAGATGTTTGCCCCATGGCCTAGGCGGAACCGAAGCGAGACACGTTGGATGCATAGTGGCAAGCTCTCGGCCAGAGCACAGATTTTGCTTTGCATTTGTCTCCTGGTGCTTGGGCCTGGGAAAGAAGGGAAACAGAACAAAGAAGTTCCAAGAAGTTCGATCAATGTCTGAAAAGTTCGATCCCAAAGGCACTTGCCGTGGTGAGGTCCTTAAAGAGTGGCATATCAATTCCCAGACCTAGTGTTCAACTCGGGAAGGTCGTTGCTGGCAAGCCTTACGTGCATGCCGTTCCAAAATCTAGAACTTGATAGTCTATGGCGAGTCTATTACCCATGCCGGATAAAAATGGGAGTATGCAGTGTATGCAGTGCCACGGGACCACATCATTGTGCTGATGGTTTCCTGGGAAATCGAGTTTTTTTTTCTCAAACTTTAAACTTAACAAACTTAAAAACCAGCACATTTGCTGACCATTCACCGAAAAGATGGTGCCAAGCCGAAGTTGCCATTTTAGCGCCTGGCCCTGCATGTCTTGGCCCACCAGTTGCTGCCAAGTGGAGCACATAGAGTGACCACACTGGAACCTCATAGCCCTCGCAAAGCAGTTCTGAATGAAAAGGTGCAGACAAGTGCCACATTCAAAGTTCCTTCCTAGCGTTGGAGCACATCGCATATCCCAACATGTTCATTCAGCACTCAACCATGATCGCCATCAATGAACAGAGTGAACATTCACCTCGGTTTCCCCTTTTGGGAGACACAAATAAGATAGTTTCCCAAACTAGCGAACACATCTCCTAGAGCTTTGCTGGAACGAGTGAGATGCTGCATGTGCCGCGCTTTATCACTGGTAACTTCAAGCCTCATCACCTCTTTCTCGAGGCCTCGGCCTCGGGTCGACTTGTCACTTAGCGGACGCCATTGGCAGAATCTCTGGAGAAACCTTACGACTCCGCGAAGCTATGCCGCTATGCGAAGCTGATGTATCCACTGATATCCACTGTCACATTGTGGAATATTGTGGACATGCGCAGGATGTGGAGTATGGAAGAGCTTTGGATGCGCTGGTGAAAGCCGTGTGCTGGGCTCATCTGGGCAATGGTCCTGGTACGAACGGCACACACACACATAGCGCGCACACACATGTGCATACATTTGCATAGTCTGATCTGGATTAGATTTGCGGACGACCAGATCTGGTCTTATATGGATCTAGCATGATCTAGATGTCCACACTCTGTTGGCTCATACTGAATGATCTCCAATCAGCACGACAATTTGCGCTGGAAGGTCTGATGTTTTGATCACGTCGCCTGATGGATCTCGAGTTTTTCTGGGAAAGCGCAAGGCTGGGGTTGACTGTTTGGGGCTAAGCGGGCTAAGCGCACCACTGTTGGGCGGATTTCGAATGTATTTGATACAAGCGCAGACGTCCTCTCTTTCTGCCGTCAGGTCCATCCGCAACCTGATTGGCACCTCGGCAGAATCTTTTTTGCGGCGTCAGTCCCACGCTAAATGACGAGGTGCATGCGAGGATCATTTCCAGAAATCCAGGACCCAGGAGGTGTTTGAGTAGAGTTGGTGTGTCAGCTGGCAGATCTCTGGAAACTCATGGGCGACTATTCATGAGATTTCATGATTGTCACGAGTGCCAACTCCAAGGTGGTATATGGGAGGCCGAGCCAAACCTGGAGAAAGTCCTCAGCAGGCACAGTTGGAGATCTGATGCTTCGCGACCTGTTCGGCGTCTATCCGTGACCAAAGATTTCAGGCCGCGGCTCGTGTGATGCGCCGCGAACTGTGCCTGCAGCTGCCAGCCACGCGCTTTGAGGCCTGTGGCAAGATGGATCAGCACTGACACATGCACGGTTGAAAAGACATGTATAGTCTGTATAGTCTTTATCTTGATGCTGAGGGCTCCTATTGCAACTGGTTTTGTAGATGGAAAAACTCAAGGTTGGCTGCGGCGAACTGCACAGTGTTTTGCAAATGATACGCTTCTAGACCCGTGCGGCCCGTGCGGCTCAAGCTTTGCAATTGCTCGTCGTTGGTCCGAGAGCCCCCGCTGCAATGGCCCTTGCCATCTGGAGAGCAATGCGAGGCATCAGACAGACCTTTGAACACTTGGAGCACTTGTGGAGGGCACCCGCACCCGCCGTAGTTGCAGCTGGCCAGGGGCTTTGGAACAGATTCGATACCCACCATACCCACGAGGAAAGGCCATCCATGTCATCCATGCCGTCTGCCTCAGAGATCTTCGGGCATTGGTGTTACAACCTCCGCCCCAGAGAGTTTAGTGTCCGCCTGGATGTCAAGATGAAGCGTGCGGCCGCGCCATATCCCAGGAATCCCAACCGGAAGAAACCCGTGCCGAAAGTCAAGGGGATCATTCGCAAATTGATCAAGTGAGCCAAATGAGGAAAAAGGCGGACGCATGGTGTGCAGCATGTCATTTGTCCTTGGGCTAAGGGGTTATGTCATGTCATGAGATGTTTTAAATGGATCTTGCTTGGAGTTCCATGAGGGTCAGGGACCTGTCACAGGGAGGTGAAGTTTGCCCGCAATTTTCCCTCATGGTACATATGAATTTGAATATATGCAAATATGAATTATATAATACAAATAAATACAGAAGCCCGCACACACACACACCATATCTATCTATCAATCTATCAATCTATCTATCAATCTATCTATAGATCGATCCATCCATCCATCCATCAATCTATCCATCTATGAAACTGATTATACGATTTATACGATGCTTTCGCCGTCAGGTGATTGGAAGCTACTCCATGACCTGGGCCATGCGCGAGCAGGCTCCTGCTGAGCACGGCACCGCAGTCCGGAGCCTTGGTCGAGCCACGCACCGATAGATCCGATAGATCCGATAGATCCGATAGGTGTTGCTTTCATTTACTTTTAGGATCTTTTAGGGAAGGTTGGAGATGATACTTTGATGAATTTTGATGATATGTCTTTATTCGATGTTCTTGATATACCATTTTTTCGGTTTTTGGGTCTAGGTTCAGGCCCAGCTTCCTGTGCTTTGAATTTCTCATCAGGATATCAGCACAGTACATCATTTGGTTCTCCAACCAGAGGAGGCCGGAACAATGTAACAATGTGCTCAGGATGCAAATTGGGGGGTTGAATGTCCAGATCAGCAAGATATGTATACATATGTAACATAGCCAACACATCAGTGTTCAGTGCGATTCAGTGCGTTCATTGTTCATGCAGCTGTAAAGGCAATGGTGAAAGCACAATTATTGCACTTACTCTTTACGTCCCTTCAAGGCTCGGCTATAGGCCTGGCTAGGCGTAGACAAGTGGGAAGGTGTGTCAGTGCGTGGCCGTTGTGTTAGGAGGCTGCAGTGAAGATCGATGAGAAGGACAGGGTGCATAGACAGTCACAAGGGTCGAGACATGACAGAGGAGTTGATGATCGGCCCATGCACCGAGAAGATTCCGGATTCAAATCCTGGTGAGTTTGAAGAACAACTTTAACCAGTACATAAGTGACTAAAAGTGTCAGAAGATGAAAAAACAGAACAGTAACAGCAGTTCCTTTGTTTTTGCTTCACTGAAGCCATACACACCCCCGCAGGAATATGCCGAATCCCAATGGTTTGGCAGGGATGAGATCTTGCTCGGCCAATTCCACCCAATCCTCAAGCAGGCAATCGAGCCATGGGGCGCAGAAAGGATGCCCCTTCGAAGCGTTGCGAGTTGAGGTGTTTTTAAAACAATGTCTGGATGCTTCTGGTCTATTGCTGCTATCTTTGCAAGGCTCTCAACATCTTTTGAATCATTTGGATATTGCTAGGTATGGGTCAAAACTGGATATACATCCATAAAGTATCCTAAAATTGGATGGTTCATCCACGGAGCCGATTTTGATGAGATGCCCCTCTCAGTCATTTTGCCGGAATTCTACTCTGGTCGCTTTGGTCATTGGCATCGTGAGGCTTTGAGGGACTTGCAGGCCAAGACCATGTACAGAATGCTTCAGCAGGCCTCATGTGGTTGGTATATATATATATATATTATATCATATCAATTGCATATCTCCTGCTGGTAGTTCCATCACTCATCCTATGGTGCCAGTCTTCGCTAATCAAAGCTTCGTCTCCCAGCTCCAGGCTGTACAGGAACAAGCGAAGGACGGGGGCAATGCAGCAAGATATGAGGCACATCAATGTATTCCAAAGGATGCTCCCCCTATGAGGTTCATTGGTGAGGTGAATTCTACCTGTATGACCTAATTCCTCCTAAATCGATCTCAAAATATGGGACAGCTTTATTACACAACTTCGCCAACCCCCAAACCGAAACCTTGGCACATCTTGGACCTGGTCAGAAGAGATGAGAGAGTCAGGGAGATCCCATCACCAGAGATCCCTGTCCATCCTGTGCTGCTTTCCTAGATTTTGCTAGGACAGCGAAGTGTCCCAACTTGCGCGGAGCTTTGTGGCTGCGGCTCAGGTCTGGGTCGACGGGTCGGGTTTGGGCTTGGATGCAAGGGGCCGTCAGGAGTCCATGGCACTCGACGACAAAGGGGTGATGCAAGTTGACTTCGATGAAGAAAGTCGCAACTACGTGACTCGGCTTGGGAAGTTTCTATCGTCCAATGTGCAGCGCGCAAGGGTGAGGCCTCTGTCATGCTTTGAAAAAATGAAATGTCCTTTTAAATAAAAAGCACATCATATATTTTGCACTTCCACATTCAGACATAGAATGTCTTTCTTCATGAAATCGACGTATCAGTTGCAACTGTGTGATTAGGCCATCTCCTTCAAAGACGAGGCTAAGGCGTGTGGCTACAAGAGCGGCTGCTTGGTCTTGCAGGACTTGGGCAGGAGAGTCTCAATCGCCCTGGAACTTTCAGCATCAGGGCGAAAACTGGGCACGGGATGCCTTTTTTTTCTCAGCTAAGGTGGATGATAGCGGCCAAGAAATACCCTAGCAGCGCTGCAGCGAAGCGGCGGAAAGAAAAGAATCCTCTTGCAGTGGCTTTGTCTCATTTTTCCTATTGTCTAAGCCAGCGAACTTTGAGATGCAAATGAATTTGAGCGATACCCTGTGGTGAACAAGAGTGGGCAGGGAATGACAAGAACAACATGGGCGCCTAGATGCGCCTAGTGTTTTCCTGGCACCAGTCTTCCGCCGTGTGGGTGAATGTCTTTGGTTTCTGGAACTCACTCGCTTTGACGACATCCTTCAGTGGTCATGGTCATGGTCAAGCTTCTACCAGGGCTATACAACTGGCATGATTTTCCTCATTTGAAGAGGTGGCAGGGGCATGATCAGTGTCTCGTGCAAAGTCTTCCTGAAAGAATGCGTGCACTTTCTTTTTGTGAAATATTGTGTTATGCACTTATTCTGATGCTTTTACTGGGGATGGTGAATCAAAATCATGACCTTTCCTGCACTTGATCCCCGAAAGGGGTGGCCATAGCAAAGCTAACAGCAATGCCATGTCGGGCGTTGGACGTGGGGGTTTCCTGCGAAGTGCACGGCGGATTCCTTTAAGCGCCAGGCGCGTTCATAGGACATGGTGACATGGTCTGGGAAGGATAAGGTTGATGGCCTGATTAGCAAAAAAATCAGGACATCTCAGGACATTCAGTCTTGAATAAGTAATTATCAGTTCCTTTTGGTGATTTACTTTTATTTCCTCTTTGTCGTTGTCCTTGTTGTCCTTGTTGTCCTCCCTAGCCCAGGACGCGATGGGCCGAACCTCCCGGCATTCCACGCAGCGCACGCGGGCCCGTCCGACGGAGCGGCCGTCAAATGGGTGGAAAGGTGCGGATGCCAGCAGATGACATGGTCATTGCGGCTCTGTTTGGTCTAAGCGGTCCAATCACCTTTTTATTCATGGCATTGTAAGTAAAGAGTAAAGAGCCAGGCCTGCTTCAAGCAACAGGAAGTCGAATGCGGTCACTGGCAGTCATGGTTTCAAATGGCCCACTTTGCAGCCAGGGTCTCCGTGCTGCTGCATTTGCATCCAAGTATTATTATAGGATCCTACGATCATATCAATTCGAATGTGGTGATTGTGAAAAAAATCCACTTTCTCAGCTGCCTGGCAGGTGGAGGATTTGCTGGATGCCTTCCGTTGCGAGGTTTCAGACACAGACAGTGGCAGTGAAGGGCCCTCGGAGTTGGAAGAAGGTGCAGCTGATTCGAGGAGCCAGGGGCGACAAAGCCTTGAAGTACCCTGAAAAATTCAACGTGGAGTTTCTATGAGTTTCTTGGGGTTCTTGTTTGAAATCCAACTTAATCCTCTAAAATTGTGAAATGACGCTGATCCTCATTGAGGCTTTTTTGCCTGCAGTCCTTCTCGACACATGTTGGCAATGTGCTACTTGATCATATCATATCTGTATCATTCTGTATCGGTGGCAGGTGGGCAGGATTAATGGAAACACACATGCCAAAACCTTGAAGAGACGGCCCATCAGGATCGTCACAACTGTTCAACGTTCGGTGGGTCTTCGGGGGCTTGTTGCTGGCTCCATGGGCGAAGGCCGCTTGGCTCTGTGGGATGGGGTGACGCGGGCGATAGCCAAAAGATTTTATAGCCTGAGATGAGCTTCCTTGATTCAGCCAAAACGGCGAATTGAAACGGCAACAAGCATCAGAAAGATTCAGATGCAAA